AAAAGTCGAAAAATGTACAAATATCGCAGGATTTCTAGGACAAACGTAACATAAGCATGTATAAACTATATGTTGAATATCGTTAAACAAATCCTAACAAAATAAAAACGAAATACTTTATTGCTGTGGATTTTCTATACATCAATCGTAGGAATGACGAAGATATCAATTTATATCTAGTATGTTGATCCTATGTATCTATTTATCTTATGGTATCATCTAAATACAATTCAACATGCCTCTGAAATGTCGTATTTTAATTAATGGATAATAAATTTAGGGTTCTCGTTGTCTTATATGTCTTTTAGTTCCTCTATTCTTTAACTGGAATGACAGATACATTTAACGCTTAAAATTGTACAGAGTTTTTGAATTAAAGATAGGTATAATTGAATTGTACTAGCTCGTACCTATCTATATTTCATTTGACGACAGGTACAATTGATTTAAAGATAGGTACAATTCATTTGAAGATAGGTACAATTATAGATAGGAACAAATATTTGAATATATGTTAATTGGGCGTTCCATAAAAAAGCATCATAAACTTAATAAAATACACATGTATATCAATAAATATCGGGAAAAAAATATACCGAAAATGCCGTATGATAAAGGGAGTAGATATTATTGCCAATATCTTATTAATTAAAGATAGGTTCAATTCAATTGTTTCTATCTTTAAATAAATTTTACCTATCTTTAATTCACTGCATTTGTACCTATCTTCAAATCAATCGTACCTACACGAATCTTCAAATGAATTAAAGATATTTAAGATTAAAGACATTTGTTTCATTATTACATGTATCATATATTTTTTTTTCTTTTTCCTTCTCTCCCATTTCATTTTCTGATTATTAGTATACCTCTGACTTAAATTTATATGCTGTAAATATTTTACATTGTCCTCATATACCATATATATATTTCAAATTGTTTTAATTGAATAATGAACTTGAACCAGTGGCGAATCCAGTAATCTTGAAAAAAGGGGGTCAGTTTTGGGTCGGTGTAGGGGTCCTCAACCACACCAGGAAAAAATTTTATTAAATATCTTATACATGTATATTTCAGACACAAAGCGCCGGGGGGGGGGGGGGCTGTGCCCCCTCTAAATCTGCAAGTATGTTCTGCATCTTTATAGTCCTTTCTTTGTATTTAACAAAGGTAATCTCATAATTATTTAAAAAGTAGCTTGCAATTACATTGTGTAATTCTATATTTTGAAAAAAAAATATAATTAAAACTATCAATATAAATAAGATTGAATGTAGAAGCATTGATTTGAAACTTTTTTAAATTTGTATAGGTAGGGGCATATATATAACTATAATAAATATGCTAAATACGTCTCTGGTATACACTAGTGTATAATGTTCATTTTCTCTCTTTTAACCAATATTGACTACATGAAGCAATGAAATGAATATTAAAGAAATCAAATTTTGATTTTTAAACTTTTTAAGGAAATCTAAATCTGTAATGAAATACCCATCGATTGACACGAAATGCTTTTCCACTCGTTTATTTTACAAAGGAATATTAGTAAACCTTGGTATGAGTTGTCTCTAACATGTCCAATCAGAGAGAAAACCTAAAGAAAGTTGGTGCACACGTGGGACATGGAAAAATAATGGCAGAACAATCTGTACATCTGTTATAAACATTTTGGACAATATTATATCATAAGACTGATAGGTATTTGCAATTAAGCAAGATTGTTAAACGAACTACAGTCAAACTTCGTTATCTCGAACCTGACCGGACTAAGAAAAAAACTTCGAGATATCCGAGGATTCGAGATATCGGAGTTCGAGATACCGAAGTTCAACTGTATATAAAATGACGCAAGAGCGGGAAATTGGTACTTATATCATCAACTAAGTTGTCCATAGCCTTAATATTGCTCCTAGGTAGAATTTGCTCTACTTGGATTTCACACAGTGTTTATAATAAATATTACTAAATAAATATATAGCATTCAATCCATTCATGAAAGTTCATAAATGCAAAATCGTATTCATGACATTTATATTGTTATAGTTTGAAATTAAAATTGTCATGGTACAGTTGACTGTGACATCATGTTCACTAACAAATATTAAATCAAAGTACTGAAAGTACTCATGGGAGTTTAACATTGTAATCTGAAAGATCTCACAGGAAGTAGAGGAGCATTTTCATGCTTTCAGATTCAAGGAAGCTAGAACTAATTTGTTACAGATACAACACGAAACATTAAAAATAATTTCAATTGCCTTTGAATAGCGAAGATTATGGGGCTGCTTTTAAATTAGCTGCAGAACTGTAGCTCTCCGAAAAAAAAATATTTTGATAGATCGGAGAGCTACAGTGTCATGGAAAAAACTGTATATATTTATTGTGCACAAAAAAGTGCGCTGTTTCTCGATTTATTTTTCCATGTTTTTAAACTGTCACATCAAAATATTACTAACATGTTCTAAAATATTCTTTCACTGTTTCCACAACAAAGCATTACTTATGTTAATAGCCCTTCGGGCCTTGAAATTGAGATCATCTAAAATGTCGTCTATTTATGCTGCAATTTTGGTTTGCAAGATAATTTGGTACAACGCACTTCGAGCACATGTCAATTATAAGCGAACTTCATAGAGGAGGAAGGAATTTTTATGAATCTATCTTTTTCACGTTTGATGTAAGAATTAGAATTAAAGAATTAATTCCAGAACTAAGCTCAACTTTTCGTGCGCAATAAATGTACAGTTTGTTGGTCTGACAAAACTTTTTCCAGTCTAACAGATCATTTTACATGTCAGAACAAATTAATGTCTGACAGTGATTTTTTCCGTACTATTTTTTAAACGAAACGTTGTTCTGTCTCTTTATTGCTGAACTAAGTTGGGTAAAACCTTAGCGTTCCTTTTGACCTAACATGTATTTCACAGCTTCTTACTTTTACAGCAGACAAAAGCGCTATTTTAAATAATTCCGACCCTTTCAAAGATTTTTCTAACTCTAGATCTTCTCATTCCTTTAAATGACATGGCCATCGAACCACTTGGGATATATAAGATAGAGAATGAACTAAACTTACATATCAAAAAGTTTACTATTCAGAATCAACTTTTTACAGCACTGGTGCAGCACCAGCCAGATTTAGAGGGGGCAAACGTTCCCCCTTTTTGTGTCCAGAATATAGGTAAGATTTAATAATTCATTTTTTGTGTAAAAAAAAGTCTTAATTTTCCAACCCTGAACTTACAGCTTTTTTGTTTGAGGAATATACTGTTGCAATGCGTATATTTTTGGTGTTTTAGTAAACTTTATCTGCATACTAAAAATAAACAATAATTATTCTGTATTATGATTTTGGCTTCATTTCAATAATACATGTATATAGGAGAAGTGATTTGACGCCTTTTTTGCCATTAACGCAATTTTATACTGCATAAAGAAAAGAAAATGATTGAGAGTTTATGAAATCCTTAAAAAGAATAGATTAGTTTTGCAAAAAAAAAAAAAAAAAAAAAAAATCATAATGATTCTTGTGATCTTTCTTCCAATGTCTGTAGTTTCTTTTAGACATTTATGTATCCGCTTATAACTTGTGCTTTTAATTTCTAAAAAAAAAATACACATAATACAATCGCCGAAACAGACTTGTATTATTTTTTTTAAATGACAGCAAGTTATAGAATGACAAATGTACAAATGTACCAAAAAAATTAAAATTTTCGCCTTCAATTCATATCGGTCAACGCGATTGCTCACGAAATTGTTTTGTAAAAGTTGATATTTTTTCTGTGAAATCAATTCTTAAATCCACGTCCTGGCTGCATAGGATCTTTACACACGCACTGACCTGGTTAGAAGATTTTATCGAGTTCTGACTATCATTTACGTAATAGACAAGAAGACTATACATACATATGTAGGAACATACAGTGTATATTTTGAAGTACCCCCACCACCCAGGCAATTGTGTGTGTGTCTCACTCTCTATGATTTCTGTGCAGCTTGTTTTATTTATCAATAATAAAGCAGATCGTTCATTGTTTACATCTCTACATTTAGATAATCGCGTCATTGTCAAACAGACCAGACGTCGTTGCTCTTCGGATGATCTTTTTGTAATGGAGCGTATTGTAGTCAGCCGAGGATTGCAGATTGATAAATGACAGAAAACTGGGACTTTTTTCATCCGAAAATCAAATTTATGTGTCATTTCTCGAGAGAGATGACAAAAATATGCTATTTAGACTATTTAATAAGTTAAATAAAATTCAATTTCATTTACTTTCAAATCATTTATGAATATTAGATAAGTTCAGGAAAATGAGATGGACTATTTTTAATGCGGACGTTTCTGTGAGTTTATATAGACTGGTACGAGTTTACATTGAAATATCACAGGGAAGTAAATTGGTCGACACAGAAGCACCGCGACGGTCGCTATATAATTCATTGTAAAATGACTGCGCTAGAAACCGCGTGACGACGAAGGCGGGAGATTGAACATAGTTCAACTCCCAAAAAGAGAGATTAGATATTAGTTTTTTTAAATAAATAGTCGGAAAATTAATGGCAAATTTAAATTCGAGACATGAAAAAGAAACATCAATATAAATGGTTTTCAATATTTCTCTAGCAATGAATATTCTTATCAAATACTTTGAGCACTCTTTTTTAATATTTCACATATGTTAATTTCCCATATGCATTAAATTTTAGAAGTAACTTTGTAATAATCGATATCAGTTGAGCTGCATGCGCTGTCTTTTGCTGCTAATTAAAATGAAGGTATAATTTAATGATTACAGACTTGTGTTTGATGAATAAATAAAATGTTCAGCAACATTAGTTGCAATAAGATAAATGGATGTTGTAAATAACAAAGTAGCTATATAGTAGATTTAAGTGAATATGAGACGATGCATTTTGAGGAAGCTGATGTACATGTATTATGGCGAAAAAGAATTTGGAGATTTCTAGTGAACTTCTTGTTCATACTTGGAACAATGAAGATATGTTCTTCTGCTCAGATTCCTTTTGTTGCATTTCATGAAATGAAGAATTTATCGAATCCGGAATATGACATTTTGACGATCCGTGGACCAAAGCAATGTGCAAGACAGTGTTATAATGATAAGCAATGCAAATCAGTGAACTATAACAAAGAGACTCTAACGTGTCACCTGAATGATTTTGATCTAGATCCGAGTCATTTAGAAAAGGATGATCATTACATATTTATTCAGAACATCACTGGAACAAAGGTACATTTTATGATTATTATCCCCTCGCAAAGAAGCAAGGCGCTGGTTTGTGTTAGTGTGTGTGTTAGTTTGTCCTTTGTGCGGAACGGAAATGACGTGATTTGCATCGGGATCGATGTTAAACCTTGTTTTTGTTTATACATGTATGTTTAAAATGCTCTTTGCAAGGGGATGCCTATCGTCCCAAGCCACTTTTTTTAAATTGTGTGTGTATAATACGCAAAAATATTCTTTTTTTAACGGAGCGTCATTGAATATATCTTTAAATGAGGAAAAGGGGCCTTAACGGTCTAACGAGTATAATGCAACCCTGTAAAAATAATCCATAGAAATACAGTAAATAAATTATTAAACAGAAAAATGCATCTAAAGAAAAACGCAATTTAGAAAATATATGTATATGGAATCAACAGAATAAATAGGCTGATAATTAGTTAGAGTAACGCTCAGCGGTAAATTTTCAAGAGGAAAAGTTAAAGTTTTCAAATATTATTATGCACGACAGATTAAAGAGAACAAAAGGTCACCTAACCTGAAAGATTCAACTGAACTATAAAAAAAGGTCAGAGAAATTGCTGAAGAATAGAATATTGAAAGAATTTGGCAGATACTTTCAAACGTCAGTGATTTTTGTTTTGTTGTTTTTAATCTTTATAGCGTCCCTCTCAAGGATTTTTCTTTCGATCATTTGGAGACGCCACCATCTGCCGGTGGAGAAATTCAAAATTTGACCTATACTTGGGATCATTTAGCAGGGTGGCATCCTTTTTGTGCCAGCATCTACACTGAGACCTCGGTTTATACGGTCTAATCCGAAGGACTTGTCTCCATGTCCCACAATGGGATTCGAACCCTCGACGTTAGGATCAACTCCTTACTCAGTAACTCTATCTAGAGCAGACAAAAACTGTTTTTTTTCTAAAACGAAAGACTGGTGCAAAGTGTTATTGCCGGTTTCGACTTATGATTAAAAATTAAAATACTTTCTCTGGTTTATTTTTCGCAACATGCAACATTTAAAATCAATGGTTGATGTACATGTTCAGATGAATGTGTCGTGAAGTAGTCTACTTGAGTTATCAAATTGAAAAAAAACTTATCTGTTATTTCCGTGGGTGGGCATTTCTTGGAATAATCGTATGTTGAATATATTTTCTCAAAATTTAAGATAAACATATATCCACACCTTGTCATTTTTTTTTGGCTAAATGAAATAGAAAATCGTTAGAAAAAAAAGTCTTTTTACAAATTTTCCTTTCAACCAGGTTAACCAAAAGTAGCTTACTTATTTGATGAAAATTACTCTCGGCTGTGTGTTTCAAGATGAAAATACCGCCGAAAGGACATGGGGTATTGTATTCCGAGTCACATTGCAAAGACACATTTGAAAAAAGAATTAAAGTAACCCAATATTCATAAAAATTTACATTTCCAATGTCTTTTTCCGAGATAAAATTACCAATAGTTAACGTACTTTATTTCTTCATAAATGTACTGGTTCATCGATCATGTCGATAGGCGCGGTTTAAAAAAATCACGTGTGGGGCGGGACGTGAAGCGATAGAGACAGAAGCGAGGCTTATAGCACGTGGATAAGCGTCCAATCAAGAGCATGTAAATGTAAGGAATAACTGTCAGATTTTTTTTTATTTCATGACGATGCATGATCAATCGATTGGCTTGCGTGATAATTTTATGCATTCGGCGTTTATGCAAATTATCAAGCAAGCCACTCGGTTGATCACATCATGAAAATCAAAACATTAGATAGGTATTCCTTAAATGAACCATTGTAATGTAATATTTGAAATTAAAAGCACAGATTGTTTTTTGGTTTTTTTTTGAAGGAACTCATGGGCCCATGTTGGAACCACAGCTGTAAGGAGAACGAGAAATGTTTAGTGATTCGAACTTCATATCGGTGTTTGAAAAAGGGTAAATATTCACACATATATTGTAAAGTTTTATTATTGCAATAAAAAGGTTAGCAAAAGAAACAAACCGCGATCTGTAAAACAGTTAAATGACGAGAAAGATTGATTTTTTAAAACGTTTTCAAATGCCATGGCTACTTTTTAAAAAATAAACTTTTCTGATCACCCGTTGTCCGCCGTCCGTCTAGCTGTTTAGCTGTCCGTCTGTCTTAAGTTTTTCATATTTTCAACTTCTCGAGAACTACTTGGTCAATTTTAACCAAATTTGGTACAAAGCATCCTTGGGTTAAGGAGAATTTAAATTACGTTACATGTAAAATGAAGGGACACAAGCCCCTTTACAAGGGGAGATAATCAATGAAAGATATGGAGATAACGAATAGTATTCAATATCATAGTCCATAAAACAATACAAAATATGAGCAGAGCAAACACGGACCTCAAAAACATCAAAGGTGGGATCAGGTACCATAGAGGAGTGAGCATCCTCTGCCGACCGGTCAGACCCGCCGTGTGCCCCTTGACGTCATGATCAGGAAATAACGCAAAAATTCAATTCGGTGTATAAATAATGGACTAACAATTAGTATGGAAAACGACAGTCAACATTTGACTCAATGATAAATTGTATTTGCTGACGATGTCATTGTATCGACCACAGAACTTACCAAATGATGATTTTAAACAAGACTGCTCATATTCTTGTTTCATCAACTTGTTTGTCAATAATTTCCATCGTTTCAGAAATTGTCAATACAAAGAGCAGGCTCTTGCGTATTGAATCAACTAAGATATATAAACTCCGTATGCAGGTGATGAAGGTCTATTGCTGCATAAGTAAGGGAAGTTGACGACAGAAAAGTTAAAGTCATCACGTTTATTGGTTCATACTTCATGTAAGAAGTCGCGAAATGAGATGAAATGGGTTGGTGGGTTGGAGCTACATGACCGAAAAAAAGAGTTATGCTATAGCATTTAGGGGCATTTGTCCAACACAGTGCTTCTGGTAGAGTCAGCAGCATTGAGCGGCATTTGTCCAAGACAAACCTTCTGGTAGAGTCAGCGGCATTGAGCGGCATTTGTCCAAGACAGACCTTCTGGTAGAGTCAGCGGCATTGAGCGGAATTTCTCCAAGACAGTGCTTCTGATAACATTAAGGGGATTTGTTCAACAGATCGAGTGCTTAAATTCCTTTCTCCTTTATTTTCAGTAAATTCCTTCATCTTGAAAAAGATGTAGGCCTCAGGAATAAACAAGTCAATAAATACTTTTTTGTATATATCATGGATAAAACAATCTTAATTACAGTTTAAACTGTTGTTTTTTAATGGATAGGATTCCGTAAAAGATATAAAACTGGGATAGGTTAACATTTTATAATCATGCAGCTTATTCAGTAAAAGATATAAAATTCGGATAGATGAACATTTTATAATCATGCAGCTTATTCCCTAAAAGATATAAAATGCAGCTAATTCCATAAAAGATATAAAACTTGGATAGGTTAACATTTTATACTCAAGCAGCTTATTCCGTAAAAGATATAAAAATAGGATAGGTTAACATTTTGTAATCATGCATCTAATTCCATAAAAGATATAAAACTGGGATAGGTTAACATTTTATAATCATGCATGCAGCTTATTCAGTAAAGGATATAAATGCAGCTAATTCCGTAAAAGATATAAAACTGGGATAGGTTAACATTTTGTAATCATGCAGCTTATTCCGTAAAAGATATAAAACTGGGATAGGATTTTGTAATCATGCAGCTTATTCCGTAAAAAATATGTAAAACTGGGATAGATTAACATTTTATGATCATGCATGCAGCTTATTCCGTAAAAAATATATAAAACTGGGATACATTTTGTAATCAAGCAGCTTATTCCGTAAAAGATATAAATCTGGGATAGGATTTTGTAATCATGCAGCTTATTCCGTAAAAGATTTAAATGCAGCTTATTCCGTAAAAGATATAAAACTGGGATAGGTGAACATTTTGTAAACATGCAGCTTATTCCGTAAAAGATATATAAAATTGGGATACATTTTGTAATCAAGCAGCTTATTCCGTAAAAGATATAAACCTGGGATAGGATTTTGTAATCATTCATCTTATTCCGTAAAGGATATAAAATTCAGACAGGAAACCATTTATTTTATTAAACTTGCAACTACATAGACATTAAATTTAGTGACATTTAATTAATCTTGCAACTACATAGATATTAAATATATATATATATATATCTATTATGGTAAACTAATGTAGAAAAACACACAAAAAGCAATTTAACTGCATTAAATTATAACATTTTACTAACATACTCTAGATACAATGTATTTGCTTTGCAAAATTTTTGTTGTAAATACTACAGATTAAATTAAAGTCACTGCTTTTGGCAAATACAGCATGCCATTCATCAGAAGAAATGCCTTGCAGAAATAAAGGCTGCTCTACTAGAAGCACTGTATTGGACAAATGCCGCTCAATGCCGCTGACTCTATCAAAAAGTCTGACTTTACCAGAAGGTCTCTTAGCTAAGTAAATTAATTCAATTTTTAATCAAAACTCGTGAAAAGAATAACCTTTAACAATATTGGTGTCTACTGTCTTTTATTTTTACTTCCCCATGCGGGTGAGCATAACCCACGATCATACTTTCCCGTAGATTTTCACTCACCCCGGGCAACGGGAAAGCGTAATTCTAGACCCCTGATTATATTTAAACGATATAATAAAAACATATGATTAAACATTCAGACTTTAGTGGACTCTTTTCCTATGCATGTGTGTCTGACCATCATAACCTGAACAATTGTCACAACATGCTCCAAGTTTTATCAATATCTGTTTTGCAAAATTTTTGTTGTTACTAAAAACAAAATTAAAGTCATTGCTCTTGGCAAATAAAGCATGATATTCATCAGAAGAAATGTCTTGCAAAAATTGAGGCTGCTCTACCAGAGGCACTGTATTGGACAAATGCCGTTGACTTTACCAGAAGCACTGTGCTGGATAAATGCCGCTCAATTGCCGCTAACTCTACCCAGAGGGTCTGTGTTGGAAAACGCCGCTCAATGCCGCTGACTTGAACAGGTCTGTCTTGGACAAATGCTGCTCAATGCCTCTGACTCTACCAGAAGGTCTCTCTTGGACAAATGCCTCTCAATGCCGCTGTCTCTACCAGAAAGTCTGTTTTGGACAAATGCCGCTCAATGCTGCTGACTCTACCAGAAGGTCTGTCTTGGAGAAATGCCGCTCAATGCCGCTGTCTCTACCAGAGGCATTGTGTTGGACAAATGCCGCTTGCATCTAATTTCCTTTTCAAAGATTCTCTTTGGGAAATTGAAATATGCTTTAAATTTTGCTATAAGCAAGATCTGAGATTTTATTATTTTCTATTACTGGTATGCTGATGTTAGCTATGATTTTCGTGACTTCTTACATGAAGGAATAGCCCGTTTATCAAAGAGCTTGGTTTTTAGATTACCATGAACGTCTTTTTTCAAGTAAAATATCCAAGTATGAAACAGATGTGTCAGACTCTGTGGTATCTTTTATCTCAAGCTCTCCAGGATATATCGTATCGACATAAGGATGGAAATTATCACTGTTAATTAATACGTAGTCGATATATCTATACATCTGTCGAGTTGAAGGCCACGGCAAGTGTTTTCTTTTTAGCACGCATAAGATTTTGAACAAATTCTGCTTCATATGAATACAAAAATAGGTCTGCTAATAACGGAGCGCAATTGGTACTCATGGGGATTCTAATAGATTTTTGGAAGACCTGGTCTCCAAAAACCATATATAGATATTGTCAATCAGAAACTCAAGCACCTTTTTGATGTCAACTTCAGAGTACTTGTGTGTGCAATCAGAATGTGTTTTAACAAAATAATTTTGCAAATGACCAATGACCAGGTAAGTAAATTTACGAGTTCCATTTTTATTAAAAAGGCAACTGTCAATGATACCAAAAAGCCTGGACTTTACTTTATCATGGGAAATAGTTGTGTATAAAGTTGAAAAGTCGTAAATTTTTAATCTGTTGATTTTGGTAAATTCTATTGATTTCAAACTGTCCAAAAGTTCTTTGGAATTTTTAAGTATCCACATCTGATTCACACAACTTCTTAAATATATTGTTGCACAGTACTCTTGAATTTTTCCTTCACTACTGTCAATATCTTAGTGAGGAGTAAAGAAGGAGGCTTGGTTGAACATTTACTGGAACCCGCAATGTATCTTTGTTTGTAAGGATTCTTACGAAGTTTCGGAATCCAATATACATGTATGTATGGTAGTTCAAATTCATTTTGGTTCTTCGGGATATTAAAAATATTCAAAACTGACATATGATTTTGAAGAATTTCTTCCTTAGAGAGGGAACTATGAGTATAAGTTGGATTACCACTTCTAGAATTAAATCCAAGTTAAATTCTTCTAAAATATAATTTATATAATGAGCCTTACAAACAAAGACAATGTTGTTACCTGCTTTGTCAGCAGGGACCAGTACGTACTGATCTTGTAATCTATCTAATTCTTTTTTCACTTCTGTATTATTGAATACAGAAGGATAGATGGTTTTCATATTGCCCCTCAATCCTTTAATACGCGATTTTAACATGGATCTGATACATTTAATCCATTCTGAAAAAGTGTCAACGTCTTCTTTTTCACACCTGGCCCATCGTCTGGCGTAATCTTCAACAGAATCCATAATATTTATGAAATTCCGACTCTAGTTGAAGGATCGGGGTTCCCTGTATTCAGAAATGACAAAAAAGGTTGGGGTCATTAAAAAATATATGTCTCAAGAATCACTTACCCAAAAAAATGAAACTTATGTGAAATGTGAATTTCAAACATCCTGTAGTCGTGTAGATATTTTTGATAAATTATTCATATCATGACCCCTGGGGGTAAGGTTAGGCCACATTAAAAGTTTCACTTTGAAATATAGAGTGAAAAAACATAAAATCTTCTCTAGAACCACTGAGTCAAAAAATCTAAAACTGGTATGTAAGCTTTCTAAGGTAATGTAAATTCTAAATTGTTCAACCGAGCTTTCGGGGGGTAGGACGGAGCCACAGTATAGGTATTACATGTGGAAAATCCAGTGATGAAGAATACAAAGCCAATGTTACTCAGGTGAGCGTTGTGGCCCATGGGCTTCTTTTTTTTAAAGGTTGTAGACACCCTCTTTATGTACTGGATGAGGACGGGATGTTTTGTTACCGCTTGGTAACGAATCCTAAACTGAACTGGACCGACGCTAATGGATTTTGCGCAGAAGACGGGGGCAGATTGATTTCACTTCCTACTAGGCTTAAGATTGACAGACTCGGATTAAGGTTTTTAGGCCAAGGTACTGCAAGTTTTTAACCATGTTTTTAAGAAAGGAGTGAAGATGAAATTATATTGTTTCATCCATAGTTTTGTTCACACAGTCACGAGGCTTTCAGTTTCAAAATTTATGATTGTATACTTTTCGCTTGCAAAGTCTCTAAATCTGTATCCTTTTCATTTAAGGAATGAATTTAATAGTTACCCATTTTATACGGTTTAAACTGGGTTGGGGCAGTTTACGCTTTATAAACCGCGAAGCGGTTTATAAAAAAAGCGTAAACTATTCCAACCCAGTTTATACCGTATAAAATGGGTAGCTATTAAATTCATTGCTTATAATTTAATTTTTATTCATTTGGTGTAAGAAAAAAAGATGATTGTTCTAACAAAATGACTTCAATTTGTACAAAATTTGAATGTAACATCAGACTGTTTGATACGTTTTTCACGAAAGTCATTGTGACGTAGGCAACCCATTTTATACGATATAAAGTAAATTTTTTATCCAATCAAATACAGCGTTACAACCAGAATTAAATTATTTTGAATTGTTTTTGGTTTACTGTGTTTTTTCTAAACGTTGAAAATTAATTTCGGAAAGGAGTCTTTTGATTCAGGTATCACATTAATTGCATATACTCTTTTAGTTCTCAGATTTTGGATCGGTTTAAATGACATAGAAGAAGAGGGGCGGTACAAATGGACGACGGGTCACGCGGCGGACATTCAGATATACGATTGGTATAGAGGAAAGCCTAACAACCGAGGACAGAACTGCCCAGACAATGCCGACTGCATATACATGAAGAACAACTTAACAGTCTGGGATATTCGCGACGCCTGCTGTGCCGAGGAGCTAAAATTTATTTGTGAGATAGGTTTAGGGTCCTAAAAAAATTCAGAGGATACCGAGTATATGTACTTGTATATGGTTAAACATTTGTTAAAAAAGCAGACCGCACGGGGTATGTTAGACAAAAATCTTTTTTAACCATTTGTTAAACAAGCAGAACGCATGGGGTATATTAGACAAAAATCTTTCTTTTTTTTAATTTTAATTTTTTTTAAAAAATTTTTAAGGCCCTCGGTAAACTGGGTTTGGAGATGAATGACATTTAGAAGGGTGATTAAAGTCTAATGCAGTAATATACCTGCATACGGAGTTTATTACTTGCATGTTTATAGGCCTTTCAACTAATTTTTCAAGTTGCACATATGTTAAAAAACATTTCATAGATTGATTTATAGGTACATGAAATTATCAAAAAAGATAATAACTTATGCACGTCTTTAATTAAATCATTAAAAAATTTAATTATTTGTAAGTGACTACTTCGATGTTGTGTTTTAAGGACAGGTAACTCAGGTGTGAAAACTGACCAACTAAGTGCCGATTTATGAGTTATCGTTTATAGGAATGACATATAGGCTACTTCAGCATTAATGAATATTGTTGTTGTACACAAAAGTGTTGATCAAAAGAAGGAGAATGTCTCACTGTACCTAAAATAACAGGGTCTAATGAATGGGGAGCAGACTATATTCAACATTTTAACTCTCTTTGACGATTGTTTTGAATAAGAAAATATAATGTCATGTTTTTTTTGTTTTCGCGCTTTTGCGCTTCCTATATGAACATATATATTTTTACGAGTAAATGCAGCAATTATTTATCTTACTTGTGTTACTAAGCACGAAGAAGAAAGACTGAGTATAAAAATTTAATTAGGTTAAAACTACGAAGGAGGGTAGACTTCACTTTTTATTTTAATTAAAGATTTTACTTATATGTAATTTAACGGTATCTGCAACTATATAGTAAATAAGTTTAATATTAGTGCTAAATTTTAAAACCACTGGATTCTACTGACAGCAGAGAAACACTTCGGAAATGCTAAAAACTGACCTGTCTATAAACAGTTCGATACAAAACAAGATTTCTTCATAACAGCGAACCCTAGCGGCAGTTGAAAGGCCTAATGTTTACATATCTCGGTTGATTCGATACATGATCATGCTCTGCGTATGAACAATTTCTAAAACGAGGTAAGTTATTGACAAACAAGTTGATGAAACAAGAAAATCAGCAGTCTCGTTTTAAAGTCATCATTTCGTAAGCTCTATGGTCGATACAATGACCTTGTCAGCAAATACAATTTATCATTGAATCAAATGTTGACTGACGTTTTTCATACTTATTGTTAGATACTGAATTGAAGACGGACTTTTCCGTTATTTCCCGATCATGACAAGGAGCACACGACGGATGTGACCGGTCGGCAGGGGATGATCACGCCTCCATTGCACCTGATCCCACCTCTGATGTTTTGGAGGTCTGTGTTTGTTCTGCTCCAATTTTGTATTGTTTTATGGACTTTGACATTGAATTCCATATCATTCATTTGAATTATACCTTCACGTTTTTTTAAAAGCACGACAAAACTGGTTATACTCACTATATGTATTACGAGGCCATATTCTGCCTTAAGCTTCTGTTTTCCTTTTGACGAATGCCTAGTACTAGTATCAAGTACATGTATTATCATTAGACGGGCGGACAGACAGACATGTATATACGGAGAGGAAGCCAATATTGTCACCTCCGGTTTCGTTGTGTATATATAAGACTAATAAAGAGAAAATGTTAAAAAGCAAACAGTTCCTTTATTCCAAAGTGAAACATATTTTTTTGACATGCCAATGATTATCATAAAATCAATAATTGGATTCTGTGTGTATGATTTTTCTCAAATTAAATTTTATAAATCTTCTTTGGTTTCTGTGGATGGATTTTTGTCATAAAATTTTAAAATATACAGCTCAAGCCCATGGACTGTCGACTTCAAAAGAATCGCATTTGTTAGTTATGCATTAAATATGCATGATCATAAAAACTTACTTACTTCTGAAATTGTTGGCAATGTATTAAAAATGCATGCTCATAAAAAATCGTTATCGTTTAATTTTTTTTACAAGACTTTGAACACAGTATCGTTCGGTCATCAAATGATTTTACAGATATGAACCGCTCATATTCAATTTTATTGGTGAACGGCTACTACAATAGAATATATGCATAGAATCTTAAACAATTTAGGTCTTAATCGGAGCGTTAACAGTGCCAAAGAAATAATATAGATATATGTTAAATGGAGAAGTTTTCCCCCTAAATAATAAAGTTTCCCCGGAGGGGGGTCGGTCTTTAATTGTTGGAGAAAGGGAAAACTTCCATCATTTCTCATGGCTGTTCGACTTAGGGGGGGGGGGGTAATTCCATCAGTTAATTCTATTGAGATAAAAACAATCATTGATACTTTGGACGATAGCACAACAATTCATGTACGTTCTCTGTGTTGTAATTTTTCAGTATTTTTGTATTTATCCATTGTCCTCACTACAGAGTTCACTTGATACTATCCAGCACTCCATTTAACCAGAATAGGGATAAATACTAATAAAAGAATGAATATCAAACCAAAACATAATCCTATCACACACAATAATTTTCTGTTGCTTAACGTTCTTCCACTTTTGAAATTTTTTGTAACTTTTTTAAAAACACGAGCCTGAAAGAAAAAAAATATATCATTACCATTGGAGTTTTATGAAGAGACTTACTTTTACAATCGACGACTGACTTCTACAATTTAAACAGAGACCTTAAATGTAAAAAGTCAGCTGTCGAATGTAAAATTAAGTCTCTTCATAAAACTCCACTATCGTGATTACAACATTTCGAATAAATATTGCAAAGAAGAAGGGCTAAAAAGGCAGCGAAATGCCTGATTTTTACAAATTCGGTAGGTATTCAGCTCGCTTTGTTACCAAATATCTTGGTTGAGTAATTGTACTTAAAAAATTTAATATGTATCTACATTGTAAATTGAACATTTATTGTAAGTTGGAAAGATAATTTTTAACGAATCCAGAAGTATCTACATCTGATTTGCTGTAAGGGAGATGTGGAAAAAAATTCTCGTATCATTCATTCATTTATTTTTATTTTTTTTTGTAATTAAAAGTTAATAGCTTCAAATTAAAGCATTGTGTAAAATATTCAATTTTTTCCTTCCTTTGTATATGAGATGAAGAAAAAAATCATATATTTCAGACTTTTTTTGGGAGGGTCGCAATCCATTATATCTCTATCAATTACATGTGTATCTCTATCAATTGCAATGAAAAGAATCTTTCAGAGGTGAAGTTCGATGAGGCCATTTAATTTTGTAAATGCTGTTACCTTGTTCGACAGTTTCTCGGCTGTTTTCTCCAGTCTCTAGATCTTTATCTTTTCGTAACAATTTCCCAATACTTGTAGTCAAGGCTTCATTAAAGTCTAGCAAATCTCCCTTTATCTTCCTCGATTCTCCCACATTCTTTTTCTCATCCTTTTCAAAAGAAATAATTTTACTATAACAAATATTAATCAGGATTAATAGTATTTTTCAAGTCTTTAAAAAAGAAAATCCAATTAAAAATTTATATATTTTCCTCACTGAAAACTGGAATACTATTTTAATATTGAATTGAACTTCATTAATACAAGATTATATTTAGGAATACAGTGTTTGAAGATCATATACAGATATAGTACAAATTCTATAAGATATTAATTTTTAAATATTCTTTAATTAATTTACTTTTGCGTAATTATGAAATAATAAAAAGAACCCCCATATATTAAATGAAAAGGGGGAAGAATCATTTATGCCTCTTTCTAGCAACACATAAATATTGGATTTCAAATATTTATAATTTTAAAGAAGTAGCATACTGTTAAAATAAATATAAAGAAAACCAGAAGTCTCTGTCGAGACTGTAGCTCTACTGGTTTGTACTTATCAAAAACCATTGCACTATTTTATGTATCTTTGTGTAGTCTACTTATGTGCCAACTTATTTTGAAATCAGACAAAAACTGTAGAAGGAGTAGCGTTTTTAAGGAATTCCACAGAAAATTCTATTTTGAGTAACCATAGCAATACCGTTCATCGAAATCAAAAACCGATGCACTATTCTATGTATCTTAGTGTAGTCTACTTGTGTGCCAAGTTATATTGAAATCAGACCAAAACTGTAGAAGGAGTAGCGTTTTAAAGGAATTTCACAGAAAATTGTATTTTTAGTAACCATGGCAACACCGTTCATCTAAATAAAAAAAAAACGATGCACTATTCTATGTATCTTAATGTAGTCTACTTGTGTGCCAAGTTATACTGAAATCAGACAAAAACTGAAGAAGGAGTAGCGTTTTTAAGGAATTTTACAGAAAATTCTATTTTTAGTAACCATGGCAACAGCATTTATCAAAATCAAAAACCGATGCACTATTCTATGTATCTTAGTGTAGTCTACTTGTCTGCTAAGTTATATGGAAATCAGACAAAAACTGTAGAAGGAGTAGCGTTTTTAAGGAATTTTACAGAAAATTCTATTTTTAGTAACCATGGCAACAGCATTTATCAAAATCAAAAACCGATGCACTATTCTATGTATCTTAGTGTAGTCTACTTGTCTGCTAAGTTATATTGAAATCAGACAAAAACTGTAGAAGGAGTAGCGTTTTTAAGGAATTTTACAGAAAATTCTATTTTTAGTAACCATGGCAACACCGTTCATCGAAATCAAAAACCGATGCACTATTCTATGTATCTTAGTGTAGTCTACTTGTGTGCCAAGTTATATTGAAATCAGACAAAAACTGTAGAAGGAGTAGCGTTTTAAAGGAATTTCACAGAAAATTCTATTTTTAGTAACCATGGCAACACCGTTCATCGAAATCAAAAACTGATGCACTATTCTATGTATCTAAGTGTAGTCTACTTGTGTACCAAGTTATACTGAAATCAGACAAAAACTGTAGAAGGAGTAGCGTTTTTAAGGAATTTCAAAGAAAATTCTATTTTTAGTAACCATGGAACATCGTTCATCGAAATCAAAAACCAATGCACTATTCTATGTATCTTAGTGTAGTCTACTTGTGTGCCAAGTTATATTGAAATCAGACAAAAACTGTAGAAGGAGTAGCGTTTTAAAGGAATTTCACAGAAAATTCTATTTTTAGTAACCATGGCAACACCGTTCATCGAAATCAAAAACCGATGCACTATTCTATGTATCTAAGTGTAGTCTACTTGTGTACCAAGTTATACTGAAATCAGACCAAAACTGTAGAAGGAGTAGCGTTTTTAAGGAATTTTACAGAAAATTCTATTTTTAGTAACCATGGCAACACCGTTCATCGAAATCAAAAACCGATGCACTATTCTATGTATCTTAGTGTAGTCTACTTGTGTGCCAAGTTATATTGAAATCAGACAAAAACTGTAGAAGGAGTAGCGTTTTAAAGGAATTTCACAGAAAATTCTATTTTTAGTAACCATGGCAACAGCATTTACCAAAAACAAAAACCGATGCACTATTCTATATATCTTAGTGTAGTCTACTTGTGTGCCAAGTTATATTGAAATCAGACCAAAACTGTAGAAGGAGTAGCGTTTTTAAGGAATTTCACAGAAAATTCTATTTTTAGTAACCATGGCAACACCGTTCATCGAAATCAAAAACCGATGCACTGTTTTATGTATCTTAGTGTAGTCTACTTGTGTGCCAAGTTATACTGAAATCAAACGAAAATTGTAGGAGGAGTAGCGTTTTGAAAAATTGTTTACAGACGGACAGACAGACAGACGGACGGACGCCGGACGCATTACTATCGCATAAGCTCTTCTGGTCTCTGACCAGTAGAGCTAAAAATGAACAGTTTCACTTACCATACTTTATCTGCACTAATCTTATTATTGTCTGCTCTTTGCATGTTCTGTCCTTGTAAACAGGGATATCTAAATACAATTAATATGGCACATGACATGGAAAAGACAAGGGTCTTAAAAAATATTTTCCCCTACTAAAACATGTAAAAGGTGTGTTTCATTATATTTTTCCCATAACCATCATTTTGCAAGCCATCATTGGCCATTTTTTTTTTTTTGGTCATTTCTTGCAATCACTAACATAAAGATTACAGAGTTCCTTCAGCGAAATTTTAAATATTGGATAGATAAATTCAAATATTTTTTGAGGAAATGAATAACTTCCCAAAACTTCAAAGTAGTATTGTACACGTACATGTATTTTGCTTGAAACAACAATTAAATTTCAGGTTCAAGATATACAATTACTTCAAACCAAGACCCATGACCTTGTGCGATACTAGTATGTCAATATGCTCGTAAATCTTACATTAATTACAGTCTAGGGCAGTCACAAAAAGAACACAAGACCAATGCATGCAATAACGGTTAGAAGTCTATTAATAATCCGACGCAGTGTTTTCATGGCAATTAATCGTTGTCTGTATGCATTCATTCGTTCAAACGTGTAGTTAAGCTAAATACTGTAGATCACTAAATTTTCGCGACACCTTATTTTCGCGAGATTGTCATTGTCTCTTTGTAAGCGAGACATAATTTTCGCGAATAGTTGTTATTCCTCTATATAATCGTAGGGAATACTTTTATACGCGAGAATTCAATTTTCGCGAACGCATCGTCTCGCGTAATTGCGCGAAAATTAAGTTCTCGCGAATAAAAAATGATTTACAGTAACCCATTTACTTAATTGTACATATCATACAACGCACGTAATTTTTTTGCAAAAATGTCTACTCAATAATGTTCCGCTCTACTCAATAATGCTCCGCAAAAACTGGCATGCACATGCATAGAGTTTGCAATTCGCGCCCAGATCTTTTTTTTTAATCCCAAAGACGATTCCAGCAACGGTGCCCCCTTCATATATAGGCGCTTCTATTTAATTTTCTTTCCCATTTGCTTTTGTTCATATTAACATGCATATGCTTTTTTACGAAAACGTTTAGGCAGTGACTTATATGTATCATTACTGATTCTTGTAGGGAAATATTTGAAATACCGCAGTATGCATTACTTCTATCAAGACCTTCCCTTGGGTACCAACATATTTGACCCCAGATTTTGAACCGACCTTGCAAAAATTTTACCAAAAACCTTGGTCATAACTTTTGAACAAATAATGCTAGGACTCTCATATTTAATATTTGTATTCATCTGTCATCATGTGACAGATCTTTTTGGAAAACCAACAATTTTAACCTTGACCATAATTTTTTAACGTTAGTACTAGGGCTTTCATATTTCACATGTGTAATCTTTGTGAGAAGACCTTCCTTTGGGTACCAGCAATTTTGACCTTGGAATTTAACTAGCATTTGAGAAATTTCAACCCTGGCCATAAGCTGTCATACAGGGGCATCAGTATTTCACAAACACATCTTGTTTATATATTATATTATTTACATGTTTGGATGCGAGGAAAAATAACTAGAACTGTCCAAACAGGACAAAATACCCCCCGGTGGGTTTTTCAGAAGTGCTAAATCATGAATATTTTATGGATCTAAGAAAAGATATATGCTAAAACATTTTTAGTGCAAATCATTATATTTTTTCTTAATGAAATAAAAGCGCAGTCTAATTAAAAAAAAAAAGACTAAATATATAGACCAGACATGAATTCTGAACTTTTTCTCTGTCAGTGACCTTGAACCTGCATAAATGACCTTGTTTCAAAGTCATGACACAACCTCAGGTCATAAGCAATGTTTGTGTGAAGTAGTTGATTTTAGTTTTTCCATAATAAAGAAAGATATGGACCAGACATAAATTATAAAATTTTTCTTCCATTGACCTTGAACTTCCCCAAATAACCTTGAACCAAGGTCATGGCACATCCTCAAGTCATGAGCAATCTTTGTGTGAAATGAGAACATACCAAGTTTATCCATAAGAAAGATGTGGACCAGACACGAATTATGAAATTTTTCTTCCAGTGACCTTGAACTTCCCCAAATGACCTTGACCCAAGGTCTTGACACATCCTCAGGTCAGGAGGTATCTTTATGTGAAATGAGAACATACCAAGTTTATCCATAAGAAAGATATGGACCGGACACGAATTATGAAATTTTTCTTCCAGTGACCTTGAACTTCCCCAAATGACCTTGGTTCAAGGTCACGACACACCCTTAGGTCAGGAGAAATCTTTGTATGAAATTAGAACCTACTTAGTTTATCCATAAGAAAGATATAGACCAGAAACAAATTATGAAATTTTTCTTCCAGTGACCTTGAACTTCCCCAAATGACCTTGGGTCAAGGTCATGACACATCCTTAGGTCATGAGCAATCTTTGTGTGAAATGAGAACATACCAAGTTTATCCATAAGAGAGATATGGACCGGTCATGAATTATGAAATTTTTCTTCCAGTGACCTTGAACTTCCCCAAATGACATTGGGTCAAGGTCATGACACACCCTTAGGTCATGTGCAATCTTTGTGTGAAATTAGAACCTACCAAGTTTATCCATAAGAAAGATATGGACTGGACACGAATTATGAATTTTTTCTTCCAGTGACCTTGAACTTCCTCAAATGACCTTGGGTCAAGGTCTTGACACACCCTTAGGTCATGGGCAATCTTTGTGTTGAGTAGTAGATTCTAATGTTCCTTCGTAAGAAAGATATGGACCGGACACGTTTGCACAGACAGACGGACAGACGGACAGCTAGACGGACAAGGTGATTCCTTCGTTTGCGGGGGGTATAAAAACATTAAACAAATTATGATCATACTAAATTTATTTCTGCCTTTTCCATTCATTGATTAATTGCTTATATAAAATAAATTTAATCAAATTTAATAATTGTGCGAATATAATACCTCAAGCATCCGTAATTCTTAATATTCACTACACCAATAGCAATGATCAGTACAAACCAATACTGTAAATGCATGCTACAAATGTACAAGTATGTACAAAAGCAAGATGAATACATTTCTTCATATGTATTAACTGTTGCTCCTTACTACAATGTACAAAGAAAAAAACAGCCTTAATTAACCATGCCTTGTAGTAATTGTTACATTGTAGGCTTTACTAACTGGAATTTACTAATACAATCCATTATCCAGGATGCCCTAACACTAGCTATAACAGGAGTTCTGATTGGCTGGAATTGACCTTTGTTGTCATAGACAATAAATACACAGCAGGTTTCCATGCCAAGAGGAGCATGGTAGGGCGTTGTCAGATCGGCTTCGGGAATGTGACCTGGTTTGGGCTCTCTGTGAATCACGTGACCTCCTCCTAGTTTTACCAGATCCATGAGCTCCTCTTTGTCAGGGGTTGGGTATTCGAAGTCCCCCGAGAAGTAAAACTGGCAGCCATCGAATAAACCTGGTAACTGTATAAAGAAATAAAATTATTATGTCTGAAAAAAGCAACACCTTGGGGGTTAGGGTTTTTTTTTTTGGGGGGGGGGGGGGGGGGGGGGGGGGTCTCTTGATCTCTTATATCAGCAAAAATTATTTATAAGTTTTGAAATACTGGAACATTGATAAAATGACCAAAGTTGATGATGCTTATTATAGCATCAATTAAAAAGTACTGATTTTTAAAATACATGTACATATATCAAGTTTCTATTCCTCCTTTACCTGTTGTTGACGATTGACTCTGCCTTTCTGTGCTGAGTGGGATTCCGGATCTGAACTGGTTCCCGGGATCTCGAATGCCTCCTCACATACCTTCATCCCATACTCCAGACACATCTCTATCCCTGAAAGATCCCACGGATAGGAGTGTAAACTTCATATATAGGTGATGCATAGCAGCAATAAAAAAAGAAGGAAATACAAGAGGTGCAGTGTAAAAATATCACTCATTTTAAAATCTTTTTTCATCAGAGAGTTAGTACATTATTCAAATCATGGTGCCCGTGATGTAGGGGGGAGGGGGGGATGAGTCCACACCAGGGAGTCAAAGTTTACAGGAGAAATTTTTTTGTCAAGAACCACAGGACCACAAAAACTAGCACTTATATGGCAGAAATAAAGTTTTAATTGAAATATAAAGGAACTAATTTTCTCAATAAACAATGGGCAAGAAAAAAAACATCTTCGAAAGCCTCCATGCAAGTTTCACATTTTCTGGCTAAGTAGTTCTAGAGAAGATTTTTTAATGACTCTACCCAATATTTTTTTAAGATTTTTTTTAATCATTCAATGACCAGGGATGTTTTGTACAAACACAGGTTAAAATTGGCTACCCAGATATTTTTTTCTTTTATATACATGTATTTGTCTTTGACCATAACCCTTTTTTAAAAGGGTTTTTTGCGCACTTTTGAGGAGAATTTTTTTTCCAGCATCATTCAATAGAATTTCCTATTTTTAGTCGTTTCCAGGAATTGCTTGATTAAAATTATTTGTTAGATTGCTGAAAATTCACTTCTAGCGATTTTACTGCCTATAGAGACAACTACAAATGATTTAAAGGTGGATAAAATATACATATTTGCTACAAAATGTGTTCATTAGGGAGTGAAAGGTTGTTGAGATGAAAATTCTCCCCAAAAGTGTGCAAAAAATATTGCAGTGTCCAGAACGACAGTGACAGAGAAGAAGATGAAAATGTAAACAGTGTCCAGAACGACAGTGACAGTAGTACGTACAGTCCATGTTTACAATCCAGCGTCCAGTTAGTACTCCCTGTAGGTACTTCATGGTCCGAGGACAGAGTCCGCTCTTGTTACAAGAAGTCACAATGTGGGTCACTGTAAGACAAAGACATATGCAAAATTTAAACTGTTAAATCCTATAATTTTAAAAGAATTGTCCAAGCTGAACTCCCAATTCATTTTCAGCATGATGGAAAAATGATTTCAAAACATTTATACCTTATATTAATGGACAATTTTGTACAGTTTACCTTGAATTCTGATTGTAAATTTCCAATAAAAGCATAAATTTAACAAAACCATTGAAGACAAAGCATGAAAAATGTGTTCGAGGTCAAATTTGGTATTTTTTTTTATCATACATTACACTATATATTTATAACTATCATGAACTTTGACCTTACCTTCCTGGGAGAAGTCCTCCATGACCTTTGCCTGGAGTTTGGTGGCACACTTCTGTAGGGTGATTTTCTGGTCTCTAGTCAGACCCGTGCTGAGGAAGCATGGACTTTGGAAAGATAGAGGGTCAACCTTTAAAAAAGAAAGACAACTCTGGTAAAACCAAAAAGTCAACAAGAAACATAACTCTGTAAGACAGTGGAGTCAACAAGAAACATAACTCTGTAAGACAATGAAGTCAACGAGAAACATAACTCTGTACAACAATGAAGTCATCAAGAAACATAACTCTGTACAACAATGAAGTCAACAAGAAACATAACTCTGTAAGACAATGAAGTCAACAAGAAACATAACTCTGTAAGACAGTGGAGTCAACAAGAAATATACATTTTTTACTTCGAACTTTAAAGAGAAAACCTCCTTGAATTTAAATAAACTGTAAACATCTTAAAATTGTAATAAAACTGGATAAAACTCAAACCTGGACAGCTGTATGTGTTGTTCTGTTCTGAGCCTTTGTTTTCAGGGCAGATATTAACTCTGCATTACTCCCAGCCAACTGTACAGGAGTCAGGCCTTTTATATTTCTGTAGAAGAAATAAAAGCATAAAAAATACTTTCTTTCATTTTTGTGACCTAAAGCGTGGGCAAATAGATCCAGTTCCCTTGATATAATGGTCTTTTTTCCCCAAAATTAACCATATTTTACAAAGTTTTTCAGATTTCCCTGTAAAATTTCTACCTATATGGATGAAAAAAACTTCTTTAAATTATGAAAAAAAGCCTGACATTTAACACAAATTGTCTAAAATTTCATCAAAACCACTTTTAATGTATTTACTCAAGTTTATCATGTATGACAAGTGAATACCATTTTTGCTAGCCAAGGTTTTTAGGTCTACGCCACTCCCCATTATGGGGGGAGCTGAGTGGATCGAAAACCCTTGGCTAGCAAAGATAAGTGAATACATGTAGCTGTCTTATAACTGACCTTGCATTTACTGAAGCACCATGTCGCACAAGGAGCTTGATACAGTCCACTTTTAGATGTCTGACAGCATCGTGTAACGGAGTCTCGTTCTCTGTGCCTGGCACATCAATCAGTGCTCCAGCTTCTATCAGCATCTCTGCTATCTTTACATAGCCATAGTGACAAGCCTCATGCTGTAATCAAAGCCTCTAATTCATAACTGAATGAAATATACATATAATCTTTTGTCATTTTAATACTTCTGTATGAGTTGTTCCCCTTTAAGTGCAATTATAGTTTTTATTCCATTTTTAAAAAGTGTCTAATTTTTCAAGTATATGTAATATTTTATCTGAGCTATTCCCGAGAGAGAAGAATTGTTTTCTGGGGACCTTGCTCTCTTTAAACAATCTTTGTATTAACCTGTCATTTATTTATTGCAACTTTTTCAGAGTACAAATTGTAATTCCTGTATTTACGAACGCAGAGTTATATGAATGAGCCCTTAGAGATTCACATCTCTTTCTCTTTTTAATGCACTAGTTTTGTAGATTTTAAAATATGAAATGGTATGGAAAATGAGAATTAAAAATTAACAACCTCTTTGGTTTGTAAAACACTGACTGTTCTGTTTGCATCATTCCAGCATTTTACTTTGGAAAACCTATTTGGAATATTGACTGAAATTCTAATTAAACAAATAAAAAATTAAGGTATAGAGTCTCAAAATGTTTTCTTACCAATGGTGTCCAGCCCGCATTATCTCTGTTGTTAGGATTGGCTCCAGATGAGAGTAGTGACTGCACTTTTTCCAAATCTCCCTAAAGTACAATTAGCTGTTATTTATAACACAATAAAAATATATTTATTTATTTGTTTGTGATAAGTTCAGAATCCCTGGTCATAATAAAAAAATTGTCACAATTAACTGAACACATTTGCAATTGTAAGCATTTTTAATATCCATTTTCTCAGTGACAGATAAAATAAGGGTGTCTAATAATTTTTCTCTTTAGTATTCATTTGTTGATTTCGAATGCTTCTGAATGTACTCTGATCTCTACAGACTACACAACTTTGAGATCCTGGAGGATCAAATTATTACTGTATACAGGGTTACTTTAGTCCCATGTTATATTCGCCCTTTTGCACTTGCGAACAATTTTGCTCCATTTTAAATTTGCCCAGTAAAAGTCCTGTTTTTGCTCCATTTTAAATTCGCCCAGTAAAAGTCCTGTTTAAGAAAATAATCCAATTAGGTTGTATTCTTTGAATTCACCTGTTTTAAATTCACCCAACCATGATGAGGGCAAAAGGGGTGATATTAAAATGGAGGCAAAAATTTCCCTGTACATTTATACAGTAATTGTGAAATTGCCCATAATTTACATGTACCTTGAAATGAGGACTAAGAAAAAATAAAGACTTAGTATTGTATTAGTAGGTTGGATTTTGTTTTTATTTTTGTCCCCCGCTTTCCCGAAAGCGAGGGGACATTAAATTTTCTGGGAGACCTTGCTCTCTTCCGTCACAAAAACTTTAACCTTGCCCATTACTTTTGATTTAGTGGAGCTATGATTTTCATATTTCATATGTGTATTCCTTGTGATAAGACCTTTCTTTGGGTACCACCAAATTTGACCTTTTGACCTTGACCTTGAAGTTTGACCAACTTTTACTAAAAAATTTCAAACTTTTACTTTGGCCATAACTTTTGAATGGTAGGTACTAGGACTTTTATATTTCACAAATTTATTTTTTGGGACAAGACCTTTCATTGGATACCAACAACTTTGACCTTTTGACCTTGACCTTGGAAATTTACGTACTTATGAAAAAACTATAACCGTGACCATAATTTTTGAACGGTAAGGGCTGTGGCTTTTATACTTCACAAATGTTATTCCTGTAAGAAGACCTTTCATTGGATACCAAGAACTTTAACCTTTTGACCTTGACCTTGGAGTTTTAACTACTTTTTAAAAATTATAACCTTGGTCACAAATTTTGAACGGTAGATACAAGGACTTTTATATTTCACATATGTATTCTTTGTGGCAAGACCTAACTTTGACCTTTTGACCTTGACCTTGGAGATTTACGTACTTCTGAAAAAACTTTAACCTTGACCATAACTTTTAAACGGTAAGGGCTAGGGCTTTCGTACTTCACGTATGTAATTTTTGTGAGAAGACCTTTCATTGAATACCAAGAACTTTGACCCTTTGACCTTGACCTTGGAGTTTTAACTACTTTTTAAAAACTTTAACCTTGGTCACAACTTTTAAACAGTAGAAACTAGGACTTTCATATTTTAAATATATGTATTCTTTGTGGCAAGACCTTTCATGGGATACCAATAACTTTGACCTTTTGACCTTGACCCTAAAAAATAATATCTCGCCCACAAAGACACCGAAAGCGGGGGACCACAATTCTTTGAATTTGCTTGTCATATTTTTTCTTAGGCCTGGCCTAAAACTAACCTTGATACAAGCCACTTGGAGTGGGGTTTCTCCTTTACCATTCTTCTTGTCAATGACACTTCCTTTCCCACTGAAAGAAGAGTTCAGATGATCCTGATCCTTCTGTTGACCTGAGTTAGTCCTCTTAACCTTTTCAGGTTTGGAAATCACAACAGAAACATCTTCAGCATTAAGGCAAGTTGGAAGGCTCCTTCTGTTTTTCTTTCTGTAATTTTAATCCAGATGAACAGCATGTACAAAAGTATCTACATTAACTGTTGAAGATTTTGCTAAACAAAAATGAAACAATATGCAGTATTTGTAGAAAGTTTAAATCCAATTTTTTTTTTTTTGGTAAAGATGCCAATTTAAAATAATCAACAGAGCCATATAAATTTATCCATTTTAACATGTTTAAAATTCCTAGCTTTGTATAATCTGAAGATTCCAAAAAGAATCTGATATTACAATGTACTAGTATCTCCTTCCCTGGCATTTTAATGTTTCTTTTGAAGATGTGAATGCATGTACCTGTTACCAGTAGAGGAGGAAGCTCCCACACTTCTCCTGGATTTTTTGTTATCAAATGGAACGGGACTTTCAGGAACTGGACTATCAACAGAGGAAGTAGTTCCAGATGCACCAACACTCCTCCTCCTGGCCTTCTTCCCTCCAGATGACTGACCAGTAATACTTCTCTCCAACTGGACTTCCCCATCAAAGCACTGACCACTTCTGTACCCACTGTTTTGTACCGTAGAAGAAATATTGTCTTTTGACACATTCCCTTCATCTCTTCTCTGTGCTGCATAATCTTCGTTATCTTCATTGCCATTATGCAGACTCTTTCTTACTCTTAAAATCTTAGATCCTTTCGATTTCCCTGTTCTGCATCTTGGTTCTCCAGTAACCTTGACCTTTTTAGATGTTTCACCAGGATTCTTTTCTTCCATTTCATCTGCGGAACTGAAATTTGCTGCAGCACTGCTGCCATTGTTAATATGGATGTCATCATTAGTCTCCATATAGTCAAAGAACTGGGTCATGGTGGTCTGCTCTTCTGGTCCTGTTGACCTAGTTTTTCTGACTCCTGACCTTTCAGCTTTTCCTCTCGATCCACTACTTCTTGTGGATTCCTGATTAACCATAGCTGTATTATTTGATAGCACGTTTCCTGGACTGGGACTCGCCTTTTCCGTGACTTTAGATGATCTGGATCTTCTTTTCTGTTTTCCTGATAGGATACATGTATAAAAATTTTTTTATCATAATCCAGTTGAATTATAGAGATCAGCAATTCACTGACATTTAAAATGCAAGTGTTTTGCATTGTACATGTATGTCACCAAAAAGCCTAATGTAATAGGTTGAGAGGTAAGAAAAACAATCTCAACATTCATAATTTTCCCAAAGATGTCAGCAGAAGTAATCAAATAAATTTATTAGGGGTCCCACGAGAAGTTGACAAAGGGCCCTTAACGTTACAAGGATGAGATTTAGAAAGAGATCTCGTATTGCAGAGAGAAAATCCAAGAAAATAACTGTACAAGTACCATTCTTAACTGATTCCTGCTTGTGAGACAGCTTGGTTGGGGTAGAGAGTTCAGCACTCAAAAAGTCATACACATCTGGCGTGCCATCTGGTGTACTTTTATCGTTTTCTGCTTCAGGATCTATGACGTTTTCTGTACAAAAAAAAAAGTAAAACTTGTGACACATTAAAGGCATTGTTCTGTACTGATGATAAAGTTTGTTTACTTAGTAAATTAACCTTTATTTTATTTTTTTCTTTAGGTCCAGATAAAATTAAATTTTTGATTGTCTCCCATACTGGCCCTCTCACAATTCTTACTCTTAAACGTTTTTAATATCTGAGTCTGAGCAAGTCAATAACTTAATTTATCGACTGAATTCATTTGACCAAACACTGCCTTACCTGAATCATAGCTCTCTGGATTGTTCAGAATGTGACCCAATCGTTTACACAGGTTCACAAGATTGAACAGTTGTCTGTTCACCTGGGCATCTTTGACATGAACAGGAATTTGACAAACTACACAGCACTGACCCAGCAACTTCTCACAGCACAGACTGATAGAGAGATTAAGCATTAAACACTGTAAACCTACTACATTTGGTAGAGTATTCTATTAAGCGATTTTGAGGGACAGCAGAATCCACTCATTCAAATACATGTATCACTAAGTGTCTTGTGTATTATACGTGTGCATCTTTTTTTTACCACTTTTTCCACGTGAACCACAAAGATAAAATAAAATGTTTAATTAAAAAAAAAAGTTTTGTGTACCTACCTACCCTAAATTTTTTGGCATGTTAACAGAAATACTAATACATATATTTTTTTATTTGGCCTTAGCCTAGTAATTTTGTCTCTCTAGACTCCTGTTTATTAACCAGTACTTCCTATATTACCTGCAGTAAATATGTTCACAACCACCCAATGTACACGGGCTTCCTGCTATGCTTCCACTATAATAAAAAAATAAATATTTTATGTCTAAATCAAAAGGTAAAATCTGTCTGAAACCACTAATATTAAAGATCTGTTGCATGATATTTCGAAGACATTTTTTTCACTTTAAAGAGCAGTAAGATTTAAGTAAATTTCACCCTTCCATAAAAGGGGACCATCATAGATGGCAGTGATTGGGATAAGCACGCGCCCTGCGCCATAGTCACATTAAATTTTAAAATGTCATATTAAAATTAAAAATGCTGCGCCATCGTGGCGCATAGAAAATCATGCACTACATACTTTTAAACTTTGAGCTTTCCCTCAAGCGCTTGTCTTTCCCACAACAATGGCTGTCAATTTACACTTGAAAAAACAGTATTTAATGTCGTTCAGTTTAAGCGTTCTTATGGCTTTCTTTTCTCCAGTATCTAATCAAACAGTTACGTGTTTTCTGATTGGCTAATGCGCACGAAATAAACTGGTGTCAGGACTGCAGCATGCTGCCTAAGAAAATAGTACCTCGTACCGATAAAGGGCAGACTTTTCTTAATTTTAACAATCCTAACAAACAGACGGTAAGACAGATGATGTAGTCTAGGAGGAAAAACCAAAACGAAAATTTAACATGTGGAGGGAAGCAGTATAGATCTAAACCAGGCTTTAAATCATTTTAAAAGATGTCAAACATCGGACACAAAAAATTAAGAATTGAAATTAAATTGCAGTGTTTATTTATTTTCTGACACTTGTGAATTTAAATAGAATTTAACTAGGAAATGTCCCATTAAAAAGTCTGTTCGGCGCATTGAATTTTGAAATGTCACATTGGCACTGATTTGGAGTGTGCCATTGTCACATTTACTCCCTAGCTTATCCCAATCACTGAGATGGAAGTCTATTTTGATGAATTTAACTTTTAAAATTAATACTGAAATGGCATAGTAAAACTGACATGTATTATAATGTTATGTTAATTAAAACACATTATATTACAATGTGCCAGGGACTGACGAATCTGCTTCATTATAATTAAGAGTAATTTCAACTAATTTGATATAACAATGAATTAAGTTCACAATATATTTTAAAGCAAATTATACTGCATAAAACTCATATGAAATTTGGGCAATATTGGTCCAAACTTCTTTAAAAAGTTACATAATACATGATTGTAAAGACAATGGCATTTTTTCCTCATCCCCTATGGAAATGGACCATTATAAAATAGTGAAATACAAATACATATTAATTGGCACAAAGACAATTACAATAATTAGTAAACTTAAAAGGCCCATTGAACATAATAACATAATGTTTAGGCTTGCCTCATTTTTATTTAGTAGTAATTTACTCTATCAGTATCATAGTCTATGTTCAAGTGTTCGAGCATTTCTTTGCTTGATAAATAATAATGATGGGGGAAAAAGAAAACAAAATATTTCCAAAAAAAATAGTTACCAAACACTGCATCGTAAATCGTTTTCTAAGTCCTTTAAAGTTTGGCGAGTATTTGTAAAGTCTAACATTATTTTACATGATTTGTAAATAAACTTTTTCGACTTCGCGCGTTTTAACAACTGGAAGTGCTAAATGCTATATATCATTCAAAGTCGGCAAAGGTATTTTCCGGGAAATTATAGGGGGAACATATCAAAAGTTGTAATTAAAGTTTAAACCCCACTTTTTCTTGAAATGTTCTATTAAAACAGAGACATTATGTCGCTGATTATAACAATTCCTAGGGGAGTTTATATTTGCTGAAAAAATGCTTAATAAATTCATTACTAAAAAAGGGAACGCCTATTGACACTCAGGAATGAACGATATATATATAATGCAATGTTTACTCAGATATAAAATTACCACAGGCACCTGACGTTACTTATTTTTCTTTTAATAAAAAAAATATACACATACCGAATAATATTCGGTATGTGTATATTTTTTTTATTAAAAGAAAAATAAGTAACGTCAGGTGCCTGTGAAAATTCCGATTTAAAAAAAAAAAACCATGCGATAAGTCCTTTAAAGCATGGAGAATTAATAAAATATAATTAAAATAAGAATGGTGATCAGACCCGTAGTAAGCAATTTCTGTTAGGGGACAGCCTTACGTACAGTTGGGGGCACTATATCACGTAACTAGCCTACATGTACCAAAACTACCAGACAGTACCTTGATAAGCATATTCGATCAATCTTTAATCTTCAGACAAATATTTACGACATTTTTGATTTCAATTCAATTCAATTCAATTCTTTATTGGCATTAAAGCACTAGATTTCAATGGACTCCACATCAACAACAGAAGGAAATTTTGTGTAGTTTTATTTCATAGCGATTTTATATTATGTTCTAGCATTTCTTAAAAGGCTCTTAATACTGGGGGGGGGGGGGTGAGAATAGTGTAGATAAGATATGTTTTATTACTAATTCAGTGCCCAAACGAGTCGCATAAAGCATGTAAAGAGAACAAACTTAAGAAGGAAAAGCCTAAAATATAGTTGAAAGAAAAAAGTCAGACATACGGTATATAATATGATAGTTTTACTATATGTAAATCATTTGTCATTTTGACCCCCCCCCCCCACTCCCTCCCCTTTTTTGCTGTACTGTTGAACACATGCAATTTTCATCATTAAAAATATACCAAGAAGTAAGTACGTTACAGTGTGGAACCCCCCCCACCCCCTACACACACACACACACACACCCACCCTCACACACACACACACACACACACACACACACACCCTCTCACACGTGTCACACTCTCCCACACATGTCACAATACAAAAAATTGTCTGACATCACGTATAACTTTATCTAATCTGTGGTCTTACTCTTTTTTTTAAGCGCTAAGCGCAGCGCACAGCGCTTTCTGTCAGCGTAAATCTACTTCCGTTCTGGATCCAGCGCCTCTATATAAGCAAGTTAGATAACTCCACTTGTTATTCTAAAAATATGCAACTGGAAATCCCTGACTCTCTTTCTGCTATTTTAGTGTAATGCTGCGTTACTTGCATTTCTAATAATAGAAGGAAATTAGTAAGGTTTAAGGATGTTCCACAGTAAGAAGATAAGAGCAGTTCTTATCATGCTCTTCTGTATACATTGTAGTTCATTTAAATCATGTCGGCACACATTAATTTGGTACCTCGTAGCTTACAATTGCTGCCTTTATGGCGCAATTACTTAATTATAGAACCAGTAAATTATTTATAATGTACATGCAATATAGTGATTGAATATTCATACGTACCCGGTACATGATTTAAAACTCAGATGGGATTTTGATAAAGTTTTAAATCTCAAACTGGAAGTGAGTTATTCAATAAAAGAAATCACATAAAATTGATTTACAATGTACTACTTACATAATGTGGTACATTCTATATATCCATATAAACTATAATTATTTTTTCTTCTAGACAATTATTTCGGGCAATGTAACTAAAACAAGCCTTTCTATTAACATCTTGCACCATGCTGAGATTTATCAGTGAAGTTGATTTTCGCATATAAGTATCAATTAGTAAGAGACTGGAATGCATTCAAGGACGGTCTTTTTTAATGTCTATACTTGTGTTGTACATAATTCGAAAAGAATGGCAGTTTGTGGCTGTACAGACATGTAAGGCATGTGATGGATGTGTTTTCAACGAATCCACTCAAATAGTAAAACTTATTTCTCGGAATACATGTATTGTGCTCTAAAATTGTGCGTGTAGTGTGCAGGATATAGCGAAACATGCTAAAACTTAAATTAAAGCAATGGACAGAAATAGGGCTGATGAAATGTTAAGCAAACGGTGTAATGGGAACTAGGATTAAATAGTTTATGTAAAGATGTGTCTCAGCTGTGTTGTCGATTAATCTTAATGAAGACTAAATAAAATAGAATGTTGTATACCTTCATGAAGATGTATTAATACTTGAGATTAATAATGTATTTTCTCTCTTGAACTCTTGAATTATTAATCATTGAAATAGGAGAAATATTATGGGCAATTATTTTCAGTATTCCTTTTTAACTACGCACAACAATGTCGTAGATATGTTTTCCTCTCCACATGTTTTGCATGGTAGTGAAGATCATACATACACAAGTAAAAGGATGGTGAAATGCACCAGGCGTCCGCAAAAAATACTGAAGCATTTTAAATTATTTCAACAATAGTCAAAAACACTTTTGGGGGTTTAACGTATGACGGGTTTGACGTATTTTTAATCAAAAGAAGAAAAGTGTAAAAAAAAATTATTACAAAAACGTATCATTTACTAAAGAGTGACACATATTGTATATCAACACAAATGTTACTGCAAATACATGTATACTGTAAATCAAATATTTGAATATCAGAGATTACAGGATAACATCAAAAGATAAATATAATATCTTTATACTTAAATGTATATTTACATATTATCTCTGACATAAAGGGCATTAATTCTACGGATGTTAATTTCATTTACATATGACGTTGTTACAAACATGATGCCAATCTTCAATTTGAAAACTTGTAAACGCAGAATGAATTTGTTATTAAATACATGTATGATCACCAGAAGATTTTATCTTTCAGTGTTGCACGTAAATGAGAGGAATTTTAGCGACATTTTCAAATGTTAACATTTTTTTCAAATACACCTGTACATTGTACATATTTTCCAGCAAAAGTATCGTCTTCAGACAGTATAGCTACATGTACATTTAGAGTTTAAATTTGATCAGAAAACTCGATTATCATCTCGAAAGAAAATAATTTTACACGCAAAAATATTTTCTTGCAATTTCTTGTACAGTACTGTAAGTAAAATAGATTGATCTTTTGACATACGAAGATAATGTATGATGTTTGAAAAAAGGGCATGAGGCAATACTGAATTTCATATCCCAACGGGGTTTACATATTCAGGACTCACATACTTTTTGACAACTGTGCTCGACCTAGCGCTATCGCACTGTCAAAATATCGCTTAGAATTCAATACAACAGGACATTTTAAATTAAAATAAAATTCTGACGAATTCCAAATCAATATGCTTAGCGCTTCCCAGTACTTTCAGTACTTTGATTTTAATTAAAAACATCTAAAAAAAAATGCTTTTAAGGTTCATAAACCCTCTGCTCAATCATATAAAATGTTGCTTTCAGAACCTTAATGATTTTCCAAAAGAAATGTATTTTATAAGTAAAATACAAACAATTATAGCATAGCTTGCGGTGCAAAATTGGACAAAAAAGACACTTCAACTTGCCAAATCTCTAAAGAATTATAAACATTTATGTCATTAAGAGTTATTTCTCTTATCAGCGTATCAATGAACCTTAAATTATTGCTGAAAACGTATTTTGAAATTATCCCTATTAATGACCGTGCATTTGGAACCGATACCGCCATAAGTATCCCACAATGCACAGTTCAACATGTCAACAACAGGAAAAGGATGTTAGCAAATGGATGAATTTTGTTTTCTTAATAAATCAACCTTATTCTATGCATATTTTGGCGAAATTTCATTATCTGCAAGAAAATAAAATATCACTGGTTTAAATTCTAGTAGATGGTAAGTATATGTTCTTAGAAAAAGCGAAATCTTTACATTTAGTACTTATTGAACCTCGATTTTACTGAGGATGAATATCTGGTTTGCACACTTTAGGTTGAAGAAAAGGGCATGAGCGATTAATTAATCATTTAGTAGCGTACATACCTTCAAAATTATCAAGTCTTTGAAATGTTTTGATTAAACAATGCGCTTATATAAAATAAATAAAAATAAAATAGAAATAATTTCATTAGTTAGTCCCAGTTTAGCTGTCACCTGTTCAGTGCTTAGAGAAGCATGGCAAGTTGTCAACTTGGTCTGATCATTGGCTTGACTCTTAACATAAAGAGTCTTGGTAGATATCTGATCATATCTATGTGATATTTTGTTGCTCATTTTAAATAAATGTGTAGCTTAAAAACTTACTGAACATTTTTTTAATAAAATGATTAATGTTATAGACAGTCAGAGGAGAGACAGAAATCTGTAATTTTAAAAAAATGAAGTAATTTTTTTTAACTTATTAAAGAATGTTAATTGTATTTTTTTCATCATACATGAATTAAACCTTAGTCATTTATTTACTGTTCCAGAGTCAAAGAAGATGTGAAATTTAAACATGGGTTGACACAGTGAATGAGTATGGCCGAATAAAGTCACCCACAGCTGACAAGAGGAGTAGCAGTAAATAGGCAGTAGAGGAGACCCACCATGACCGAGGCGGGGTCATCAAAGGGCCCCCTTTACGGAGCAGTGGATGACCTCTCCCTCCCCTTACCCCCCTCTCCGCTAGCCAATCAGTCGTTTGAATACAGACACGTGAGAGAGAGAAGCAGTAGCGAATCTGATCTGGCCGCAGAGTCACCAGGATTGCTGTCGTATCTTGCCGTGGATAAAAATGTCCTTAACCTTGCCAAGGCAACAAGTGTCAAGGTCAGCTGGGACATCAAGGAGGAGATCGGAGCAGATGATTGGATAGGGCTGTATCAGTCAGGTGAGTCCCCCAGACAAATAAAAAAAGAGTTTAAAATCAGGTCATTGCATTGTTGCATTGAATTAAATTTTGTATGAAGATTCGTACTGGACATACACCTAAAAAGGTAGAATCAAAGCATGATTCAGCAAAAGTGGGAAAATGATCATTTGCAGCCTGGGCTACAGCATCATTTATGTTCAGAATTTGTTGTGACAATCACATTGTGTCAGGTATCTTGAAATATTAGACAAAGCCTTTGTTTTAAATTGTGTAGGTACTAGATGCTTAAATGTCATGTATAGATAAAGAAGAAATGTCATTGAAACATTAAGTCTTTGACTTTTCATCAATATCATTTTTATATTAAAAATCCACTCAATATTTAGGGGAGACTAATCCTTCAAAGTTTCTTGACATGAAGAACCGCGGGGGTAATGGTGGCCAGACAGGAGATTTACAGTGGGACCTGTCCGACATCACGTACAACTTTACAGCAGGTATCTCCATTCAAACTGTATATGCCCATCAGGCGTAACAAAAAAAATTTTCCAGGCAGCATGCTCCAACTGTTCTTAAATTACCTTAACCTTATCCATTTTGAAGTACTACCTGACTTATTTACTTAAAAAAAACCGATCGTTTTTTTCCTAATCCGAATTTCCTCCATTCCTCTTTTTATGGTAAATACATGCAGATATCTCTTTCCATTATTTACGGTCCCCCAATCAACTAATAGCTAAGTGTTATGTGGTTAAACTTTAATATATATCAATTGTATTTAATGGTTTGAAATGAAAATAAAATGATTTTGCTTCATTTTAGATAAGCTACGTCACTAGTACAATATGTTCAGAAAAGGAAAGATAATAATATAATTTCTTAAAATTTTTAAACTTCAACTTTAAAAGGGATGGCTTAGGACCCTGACTTTTTCAACAATGAACATTTTACAATATTTGTTTTTACAATTTTTTGCCCCTATATTTGGACTGCTCACTTTTAACTTCGGGCTAGTTAAACTTTATTACTGTTACAAGCCTGTGGGCTAGTACTTGATATTTTTTAATTGCACACCCCTGAGTTGTAAGGCAGTTGGCAAGAAACCACCCATATTACAAACCAAACAAAAGTAAGGCACCATACAATGGTAAAACTGTTTTGTAATTCAACCAATTCATGTGACTTTGTGTATAAAAAATTTCAATAAAATAAAAAAGAATTCCTACCTACCGACCCTATTTTATTTCAGCATGTAACAGTAAACAAAGATATTTTTTTGTTTGGCCTCACATACAATGATACAAATTGATGCCCAAGGAGTCCTATGTATACAATCAAAATTTATACTCTTTGATAGTATGGGAATTCTATGTTTGTATGGATTTTGCAGAAAAAGTTGCATTACTCAATTACACAGACTATGTTTTTTTTTTCCTGCGTCAACTGCAACATTTATTTCCATAACAACAACCAAGAAAGTGTTTTGTTGTTTACATTTGTCCTTCATGACCTAAACAAGCATATTTGCATGTATAACTTTATGTTGTTACATTTATTCTTGTGTGTAAAAAAAGGGGGGAAAACTCGATAATGCTCCTTGTTCTCAGTGTTTCTACAGTTATTTATCCTGATGATTATTTGCTGTTTTTCAGGTGAAACCAAGATTTGCTTCAAGTATTACCTGGGCAGTAACCAGGATCTGGTGGCCACTAGTCCCTCCGTCAAAGTCGTCAAACCCGCCTCTCCTAAGGTCGGTACTATGACTGTAACATACTGTAAAATCACATAATTTCATGGGATCAAATTTTCGAGGGTTGGGGTAAAAAATATTGGGGGACTTGATTTCCCTGTTGGCAAATGTTTCATAGACTAGTGCAAATGAAATATTAAATTTTATGGTGGACATAAATTTGTAGGTCTATCTATGCCTTGGTACCAACAAAAATAAAATCCTCACAAAAATTAGTGATTTAACAGTAGTTCTGTAAACCAACTATTATTTGCATCATCTGTTATTTCATGATTTGTCCATTTGAAATCCATCTGAGACAGTCGAGTTTCATGATGGGGAAAATATTCTCTTCATTGACAAATACAAAGCAAAATAAATGGTTTAGGGCGATTCATATTCTCGAGTTAAAGAAGGGTGTGAAACTCTCAGATATTTCTTGCACACAAGTAAAAGCTGGTTATTTCAAAATATTTTTTTGTATATTCAGAGTTATTCTGAGAAAAGATTTCAAAATCAAATTTATGCATGACGTAGACTCAATAATTTAAGTTAGCTGAAAACATGGAATAACTTTTGGACAGTATGAAGTCTTATCCCAACGAGTTGCTCCAATTTTATGCAAAAAGAGTAGAGAAAAATTGATTTACATTTATGCGTTCTATTTTAGGAGGAGGCAGTGAAGAATGGAATCACAAGCAGAGATATAAACAGAAAAATAAAACTGAAGATAATGGGTAAGATTTAAGATTTATGTTACATGTCGACATATTGACTTATGTACATGTGTAGCTGCTAGCACAGATTAACTATTATGCAGTAAAACTTGCTTTAGGGATGAACAATTTTGATTATGAATACAAATCTTTTACAATATCTGTCTTATCTGTCTTATCTAAGACATTCATGATAAGTTAAAGGGATTGAAATTCAAAATCATAGTGAATTCCTTTTAATAGTTCTTCCTGTAACGTTTACTATAAGGCCAAATAAAATTGAAATTATGGTTTTTGGACCCACTCATATCTGTCTTGAGGAAGTCAAATTGGCTTTTTTTTTTTTTTTTTTTTGCTAATTACATACAAAATTCTAAAACAAACCAGCAAGCCCTCATCAGCATCCTATAAATTAAAAAATAAACATTTAAAAAACAGTTTTAATGATGCTTTACAAATGTTTAAAAGAGAATTTCCTAAACGGTCTTGTAAAGTTCAATTAACTGAAATAATTATCATATTTCAGACATTGAAGCTGTAAATCTGAAGAAAGGAATGTTCTTTAACCCTGACCCTTACGTGAAGATGACGGTACTACCAGGGAAAATGTGTCCTAAGATGAGTCACCACCTGAGGGAGATACGCACCGGTGTTTGTAATTCTACAACTAACCCCGTGTGGCGGGGACAGGTCAGTGTTGGGGGCAATTTTTGTAATTTTCTAAGGGGCGTGAGCATGTCGCTTTTGAAATGATTCTTGGCCTTTGTAAACCAAACTACTGAAATAAGCATGAATGATGCATATACATGCAGGTAGAATGGAAGTGTGGGTAGGGTGGGGGGGGATGGAGCTAGAGTAGGGTGGAGATGGTGGCATACTACCAGTATCATTTTTTATGCTTCATTTGATGTGTGTTCTGTGCATGAGTAAGCAGGATAAACAGTTTTGTCTATATGTAGCTTTATAAAGTAGATTCAAGTGAATAAGCTAATTGTCGACATTAAGGTATCAGGCAGCTTTATTAGGAATGGTTCTGAAAAGTGATGGCAGGATAAATTTTTTTTGTTTTCTTTCCAGTCATTTTCCTTCGAGTCGGTTCCCACGGATGTTCTGGATTTTGAAATCAAGGATAAGTTTTCCAAGAGTCGGCCCTCCATTAACCGATTCCTAGGAAAGGCCACACTTTCAGTTCAGAGAGTCATTGATAAAACAGAAAGAGAGTAAGTGTTCTAAAAATCGACTTAAAGAGAATGACTTTCACTTAAACTTCTGTATACAGGGTTATTTTTGCCTCATCTTATCCTAGCCCTTTCATTCTGACCCATTTTGAATCCTCCCAGGCACAATTCTGTTTCAGAGATAATGACATTTTCTTTGAATTTGCCCCGTTTTCAATTTCCCAATCACGATGAAGGTGAAAGGGACATACAATAAAACTTCTGCAAAAATTTCCCTGTTTGCAAAACCTTTTCCAAAATGGTGGCAATTTTCTAACAGAAAATGAAGATGAGAGCAAAATTAGTGCAAATTTACTTCAGTAAAACCTGTCTAATCCAGTTAGCTGAGATTTCATTAAAACTGCAAATTGCGCTGTCATTCTGGATTTTTTACAAAATGGAAAACAATTTAATTTTAGAGATTAAAAGTTTTTATTGTGATAGGAGAGATTTTGGAATATACAACATCCCGATGAGACTTATTAATTGTTATACTGTAGATAGAAAGTGGCTGAATCATTGCTGCACATGTACAGTGTATGATAACTGTATCAATTTTAAAATTATCTCCCTTATAACAGGCACTTTATATTAAAAAGCATCATTTATCCTTGTCTGAAGGGGGGAAATAACAAATGAAAGGAAATAACAAATGAAAAGGGTTTTTGATAAATATTAACCAAGTAAAAAACAAATATAATGGAGAGAAAAATATTTCATTAGTTATACTAGTCCCTTTCCCATAAGAATAATCTCGTTCCCATTAAAAATTAAAAAGACCATTCCCTCAAAAATCATTGAAAATGAACTATTAAATTCAAAATTGATTTGTAACTCATGGGGATACATTTACATATAAAAATTCAGCTAAATATCTGCAAGCGGGTAGGAAAACAATGTGGAAAACCATTAAGAATTAAAAAGGCTGTATTAAAAAAACTGTCAAACTTGAATTTATTTTCTTGATTGCACATACCGGTATTATATAATAAGGTGGGTGATTTAACCATATTGCTACAAAAAGGTTGGTGAATAAAGGATGGGGTAATCAAGCTTCCTTTAAAGAATTTCATAATTAACAGCAAGAAATTTTTCATAAAAAGTAGGGTATTAGCCTCCTGCCCCTCACAGCCTTGATGCTTTGTGCCTTTATTATTCCCCTTCAGGGGAAACGAGAGGGGACAAGAGGTTTCCCCTGCATCTGTCCATCCATTTGTCTATCTGTTGGTCTGTCCCATTTAGATTTCTGCATTTTTTTTTCTACATGCTTGCAAATATTGAGCTGATTCTTGGTGTGTGAATGATGAGTTACTGATGAAATTGGAATTTCATTCGCTTCAATGATATTTGAGGGAAATGCAGCCTTTTTAATCTTTAATGGTTTCCTGTACTGTTTTTCTATAGGCATGCAGATATTGAGCTGATTTTTTTTTATAATAAATGTATCTTGATGAGTTATAGATTAATTTTGAATTTAGTGGAACTTCAATGAATTTGAGGGAATTATGGCCTTTTAATTTTTAATGGAAACCAAATGACACTACCCATAGGGGAGTATGCTTGTTAGAGAGAGTTTCTTCTTAATTTCAAAACTGGGCACTTTTAGAGTCCTTCTTCCAGAACTGACTTCAGACACCTGTCAAAGTGGTAGGAATTTGAGATTTTATCGGTATACCGGTATATCACAATTTTTTGTCGCCTTGTACGTATCGTGATACGGAGACCTAAATACCGGTCTTTAGATACATATTATAAAGTCCAGAAATTATTTATTTGTTTGTTCAATCTTTCAAATTACAATTAAGGAAAGTGTAAAAAAAATGTTGTAAAAGGTGAAAAGAACGGCATCTCACCCTTCAAACATGATTAATTTTATGATTAATTTTATTTACATAAAAATTTAAAAAAGTGAAATTTATTTTTCTAGTAAAGTTTTAAGAAAAATAATGACTATTAATTTAAAATCATTGTAAAAATTGCTTGTAAAAATATCATGATAATATCGTGATATTTTGGGGAAAAATCGTGATATATCTCGATACAAAATTTTTAGCGATACCCATCCCTACAAAGTGGATTAGAAATATTCAAATTTTGTTACCTCTGGAATTCTAATTCCACACATTTATTGGTGTATTATAGAACTTCCATTTCTTCCTGCTTGAGTTTTTTTTAAAATTTAATTTGAATAAATATTTCATCAGACAAATTTATTTTTGCTCTGTTAAAGTAATCATGTTAATAAATCAATACATGATGTTAAATGAACAGTGATGAAATCTATGTCAGTCTACATCATGTACATGTGTATGTAAGTATTAATTTCTGTAATCCATGAGAAGTACCAATCAAATTAAAGCTTTCATAGATAGTTATATTATATAATCTAAAGAGAAATAATTTAGTTGACACCTAAAGTGCACATATATATGTTACAAAATTAATGCAAGTTGTTTATCACAGAGTGGCTTCATGTGATTGGTTGAGAGATAAGAAAAATAATCAAGATTTGTAATTTTTTCGAAAGACGTCACTACAGTCAGCCCCCAAAATATTGAATGAAATTTGTCTGGGGTTCAATGGCAACATGTTGACTCAACAGTGCTCAAGATCCCTGGGCATTGTGAAGATGGCATGAATAATGTGTTTTATTATACTGAAACACTCTTAATTTGACTTTAATTTTTTTTGAAAAAAGTAAAAAAAAAAAAACTTGATATATGTAGGTACCGTATAAGTAGAATTCTTAGCGAGGATTTAATTTTTGCATTATTACCGAGAGTGCCGACATCGCTAAAATTGAACATCGCTAAAAATTAATTGCATTGTAATTTGTAATACTTCTTAAATATGCATTTTAAAATCGCTAAAATAACACTCGCAAAAAAAAATTACCAGTTTTTAAGGAAAATCGCTAAATTTGCGTCTCGCTAAAATTTCTACTTATACAGTAATCTGCTTTATTATTATTTCCATACATACAGCAGCAGTACATACATTATTTATAGTGTACGTATGTTACTGTGAAAGCGGAAAATTTTGTTGTGGATTAAATTTCGTTTATTTCATTGTTTACAATTATTGACGAGATTAAATCCCACACAAAATTTTATATTACTAATATATTGAAAGTAATACTAATTCAAAAGGATGAAATTTAATGCCAACAAATTCATTTTAGATTTATACGTACAACTTAACGAAGTTTTATCCCCACAAAAATTTGTGTTTCTACAGTATGTATGTAAATGTGGCAATAATGGAGAAACCATTTCATATACAATGCCCATTGCGAGGATATATATTTCGTTGCACATGTATACATGTCCATGTATGTAATTGTACATCCATGTAATAGTGCTTGATCATCATGACTGAAGCTGTACAGACTTGCAGTGTACCTATTGATGTATGTTGTTATCATACATACATAGGTACACAAATGGACTGTGCAGGAGCTAATAAATGTGACATAATATTTAGCTAAAAGAAGTGTCTATGATCATGATGATAGCTAAAATAGTGTTTGACTGTGTTTTTTTTCTTTTATAAGAAATTGACAATTTATTTTTTTTTTTGGAGTGAAAGATATCTCAAATTTGCATTGAAAGAAGAAGACAAAATCACATCAACAACCTTAAATTAACCTTGTATCACATAATTGGTGTTGCATATTTCTTCCTCAACTTAAAAATAAAATGTTATCAAATACACACATGATATATACGCACACAAAGACAAGCTAATATTGAGAAATATTATATAAGGATTATAAATTCTTACTTTTAATGAGTAATACGATTGTAAGTACCAGTAAATCACACATCAGTAATTGAGTCTGTACACACGCGCAGCAACTAGTACAACCGGGATAGGGAAGTGATTACATGTGTACAGTATCAGAGTATCCTGCTTAACATTGTACAGTGTACTTATACACAGCTGTCCCTGTCAATTACTTCCTCTTAATTACTAACTCCAGTTTTCTCAAGTTCTTATAAGGAGGTCATCAATTTTATCTATGAAAGGAAAATATTTTTTTTTGTTTGAGAAGTGGAGAGACTATATTGTCTTGGTCTTTGTTTTTTTGGAGTTTATTAACATTTTTTTATGTGGGATTTTATTTCCTATAATTCATGTGTTCTAGTGAGTGAAGTTTTGTGTTTACTTAACCTTACAAGGAATTTAATGTTCTCTGTGGTGTTGTTATAGCTATACTAGCGGTAAATCTCAATTATAGCAAAAAAGCTTATAATGAAACGACGTTTACAACAAAGGGATTTTCATTCATCGTGACTTTAATATATAGTAAATTTAACAGATTATAATGAATTATGCTTTAAATACAGGAGACTGAAGTTTTTTTCCATCACAAAAAAAAAATCCTGAAAAAAATTTCCCACCCCAACTAAAGAAGAGTTTTTATAGAGGGTGGGAAATTTTTTTCCTGGATTTTTTTTTTTCGTTTTGTTTGTATTTTGTTTTGACGATAAAACCTTCAGACTTCTGTGGCTTTAACTAAGCAAATCGTCCATCCCTGACACTTTGTTGTAAGTTCGTTTTACTGTACGTATATGTTAATTTCTTGGATTTATTTTTAACAGACCTACAGAATTCTGTCTGGACCTGACAAAGAGGAATCCCACGGAAAACGTTAGCGGGACACTCAAGTTTGGTGCTGACGTAATAGACCTGGAGTTTAGACCAGGTTTGAAAACTTTTAATTATTAAGGTGTCAGTTACACTAGTTGTTATGGACATAGGTGGATCCAGGAATCTTAAAAAGGGGGCCCAACAAGTTTGGGGTTGGGTTAGGGGCCCACAACCACAGAAAAAAATAATTGATTAATTTAAAATCTTGTGTATATTTTGGACACAAGAGCCCCCCCCCCCCCCCCCCCCCCCCCCCCCCCTCTCCACCAGTGATGGATACTGACCACTGGGAAATAAAAAAAAACAAACAATTTTTTAAACTCTATGTTCATGATTTATCATTTGTCAAGAAAATTTGACAACTATGAAGTATTTATCACAAGGCACATACCTTTAACATAAATTTAAAACTGCAGTTGGTAACTTGCCTGTATCCCTAATTTGTCAATTTCAATGCAGTTGATATTTACATATACTATTTTTTTAATGATTATTTTTCATGTGTATCTTTAACTTGTTTAATCTGAGTAATTTTATATATACCTAGGATTACAAGAATCAAATAAGCAAAGTGGAGGTATTGAAAATCCTGAGTCCGTGTCACAAAATGGCTCTGTGTCAAAGGATGATTCAATAGACGACCAAGAGGATTCTGGGATATCCTTAACACAGTTATTAAGGGACCGTATCAGCGGTGAAATTGAGGATGATGTAAATGAAGTGGAATGTGATAATGTTCCCGTTAGTAGTGAGGTTACCAATTTACCGTCAATACCAGACATAGTGTGTAATTTTTCTGAGAATACGGAGGAAACTCGAACAGAAGAATCAAATCAGGGTGAAATATGTGATATTAGTTCAGGATTATCGTCTGCTGTGCCGTCAAGTGGAGACAATTCAAGCGGTTCCGATGTGTCGCCTCAGACTGTGAATACAAACGGTGCTGATCCACTCGAGTTTTTAAATTGTGCCAAAAACAAGCAGGAGGAAACTCCTGAAGTGTTAGATAACTCTCTAGATAGTGAGGTAAATTTAGTCATGAATGACATACCCCCCAAACCACCTGTGCTCCCACCCCGGACCTATAAGGCTCCCCCACTACCCCCTAGGTACAAGATGTCAGATGCCCCTCCCCTACCCCCTCGGACACCTGAGAGAGGGGAAAGGCCTATATTTCCTGCTAGTGGAGTAGGAACTGTTCAAATTTCACCTGACACTGTGCCAGAATGTAGGTCAGAGCCCCCCACCCCTAGACCCACTAGCACAGAGGCATTGAGGTCTTGTAATAGTCTGGAACCTCCTCCTTTACCACCCCGTACGTACAGTCCAATCACGGTCTCTCAAACTAGTCCTCAACAGCAGGCTGTCGAACAAGAGGAGGGGGAGGGAACCAGTTCAAACAGCTTGGAGAGTTCAGGAGATTCCCAGGAATATGCAGAGGAACAAGGGACCTCGGAATCAGCAATGCCGTCTGGTGTCCAGGAGGCAGAAATCTCATCCCCATCGTCGGAAACAGCTGACGAGGTGGACAGTCCACGGAGGTCACGACCCCGTGCCCAGAGGTCGGAATCCGAAGTGCATAATAAACCTAGAAGTGTTGTGACTAAGTTACCGGCCAGACATCTGTCGAACAATAGCAATTTGATTTCGCATGTGTCCATGATTGGTGGCCCTGATTCAGCTGGGTCACCTGAGAGACACAGAAATTCATGTGCGGTGAGTAGATCTGTGGAGTGTAGCCCGAGAACTAGTCCGAGTCCGTCTATGCAAACTTCATACAGTGATTCAGTGGCCGAACAAAGGAAATATGCAAGTCGTCACAGTATAGCTGCACCAACAGAAAGAAACTTTAGGAATAACGAGACATTTGTTACTACCCCCGTAAGGGCCCCTTTGGATAGATCTGCCAGTTCGATTTCCGACTCTGGAACCCCGCCACGCATAATTCCTAGAAACGCCCTCAGTCGCGTTTTAAGCGATGAAGAAAAACAACAAAACCGTGAACAAATCGTTCAGCAACTACAACTATGGACCCAAAAACAAAAAGAAAAATCTAAACCCGATTCGGAGGAGGACTCCGGTGCTGTGTTATCTACCGATAGTGAAAACCAGACGAGCAGTGATAAACCAGATAAACCGTCTACTTCAACGTGTAATGCCATGCCTAGCAATTCACCAAGGCCCCAGACAGGGGCGGCGAAGTCATCGAGTGCCAAATCTGGAGCCGGGAAATCTGACTCGCGTTCCACAGTTTGGCAGCTAAGGCAATCTACCAATAAAACAGAACCTAAACAGCCAACCACCAACAAAGGTAAGCAAGGCTAATGTCACATCACTCATTTTTATGTGTTGGCTTCATTTCTGTTGTTTTTCTGATTATAAAAGAGACCCTAATTTATGTCCTCCATGAAATGTGGATATTGTGATCAAGACTTTACTTCTTCAACCACGGAACCAAATCCCCCACTATATCAATACTGTTCAAACTTAAGTATCTCAGACTTGTTTGGATCAAGATAAAATTTCCAGATATCTGAGGAATTGAGATATCAAGGGTAAAATAATTAAAGAATAAGCAGTTGGGACTTCATAATCAATAAGATAATCTGATATTAGTGTTCAAGATAAGGAACTTCAACTGTTAGGGATTTTACACCATGGAGACTTTTACTGGTGTTATTCTACCCTTGTATTGATATTATGTTGACTGCACAATATGTACAAATGAGGGTTTGGTGATGATTGTACATTGACTCTTTCAGAGGGCAGCCAGTCACCACTACCAAAACTGCCTGCCAGGAAAAGGTACCACCGAGTGGACCCACCCCCAGGGGATCAGCCGCTCCCTCCAGGTAAGTGATCCCAAATAAATGTTTTGATGTTGGACTTGGACAAATGTTTTTATTGAGCTGTTAAACATAATACAGTTATTACTCCTTTCTTCCATTAATTACAGTAAATTTCTTGGGTTAAATGTAAGTTGATTTTACATAGCATCATTTAGTGAACTGAGCTGCAATTTTTAAAATTAAATAAAATGTTCATAAATCCTTGAATACTTTCAAATTACCTTGAATATTAATTGCCGCCTAGATTCAGATAAACAATGTTCCTATACTATTTCATGAATCTTTGACTGATTTTTATTTGCTGTGTAGGTTGGGAGGCCCGCGTAGACAGCCACGGTCGAATCTTCTACATTGACCACACCAACAGGACCACCACGTGGCAGAAACCACAGAGTGGTCAGCGAACCATACAGCGGCGGCCAACCATCAGCTCTGAACAGAGACAGCAACTGGACAGGAGGTAGGAATTACAGGGCTGTGAGGTTTGATTACTGTAAACCAACTATTATTCGCGTCATCTTTTATTTGCGATTTATCGGTATGAAATCAATCCGCGATGATTAATTTTAACAAATAAGGAAACATGTTTAACCAAAATAAAGCGAAATAAATGGTTCCTGACGATTAATATTCAAGCCTCAAAGTAGGCCGTGAAACTCATGAATATTTCTCCCACGCGGATAAAAGTTGGTTTACAGTATGCTAATGAAGATAATTCATGTCTGTATTAGGCCTGTATATGGACTTTCTTTGTTCATGGACCACTCTCAAATCTACTGTTGCCATTAAGGTTCGTTGATTCTCTGATAAGAAAGATAACTTCATATCGGATAAACATATTATTCCGCCAATGTTAAGCATTGGTGTGCTGTTATGATTTTTTTATTTGTCTTTACACATTTGTCTAACAATCAGCAGCTATAATTTTTTCTATCATTTCACATTCCAGATACCAGAGCATCCGTCGAACAATCAACCAGCCTCGTTCTGAACAGGACACTCCCACTGAGAGTACCTCCTCTGGTGAGTCAGTTACCTGTTTAAAAAAAAGGAAATGTTTAACATAAAAAGAGAATTCATCAAGGATCATTATTTCATAGAGGTTTAATCAAGCGTCATTATCATAGAGATTTTATCAAGGATCATTATTTTATAGATTGCTGCAAGTCAGTAGAGCTACAGTCTTGACAGAGACTTCTGGTTATTAACATTTTATAATTTTCTTGTCTTTATGTTATACAGGAGGAAGTGACAACAGTCCTCAGACTTCAGCACAATCTAGGGTCCCCCTCCCTGTCACCTCCCCACCCCCATCACGAAGCCCTGCCCCAGAGCCTGGGGACAACAGAATGCCAGCTGTCAAGTTCCTCACCCGCTCGGATTTCTTCCCTCTTCTACAGGGCAACGATGTAAGATGAAAAAAATTCATATTTTGATGAGATTTGACACTTACTTAAATTATGATATTTATTTGCATTTCAAAATCAGGATTCAATACTTATGTAAGCGAAAAAAAAATATGCCCTGTTGAAAATTGAAGACTGGCACCTTTATACTGCAATTTTGTTATTTATCTATTTTATTATTTATGTGTCTTGTTTAAAATTTTGGGTATTAATAAAAACTGTTAAATTTAGTTGTAAAGTAAGTTGTACAAAATTTACAAAACACTTAAAAAGTACCAAAAAGGTGCCCAATAAGAAAAACGTACTTAAGTTTCATAAATTAATTGGTTTTAAACATTTGTTTTGTTGTAGAGAGCAATGGCAGAATACAATCGTAATGGTACACTGAAACACATGATCAGTAAAATCCGCCGAGATCAACACAACTTTGAAAGGTAGGAGAAACCAGAGGCTAAAATTTCAGTTAAGGTACATCGATACTCTGATAAGAGAGATAACTCTTAATGACATTAATGTCTATTATTCCTTTCTAGATTTGTCAAATTTACGACCCACAAACTATGCTTTAATTAATTGTTTGTATTTTATACGTTTGTATTTTACGTATAAAATACATTTCTTTTGGCAAATCGTTAAGGTTCAAGCAACATTTTATATGAGTGAGCAGAGGGTTTATGAACCTTAAGATTTGCTTTAATTCTTTACTATTTGCATTTATTAATAAGTATAAGGTTTGCTGAAATGTGATTCCATTCTTAGATACCAGCACAACAGAGACCTTGTGTCGTTTCTGAATCATTTTGCTGATGGCAGCAAGGAACTGCCGGCTAACTGGGAAATGAAATTTGACAGAGGAGGAAAGGTAAACTACATACATTATCATATCAATCCTATGTATCCGTGAGTTTAAGGTATTGACAGAGTTATAAGTTCATCGGATATTTCATTAATTATACGAAAACCTGTATGCAGGACGTGCACATTTATATTCTGTGGGTTTTTTTCTTTGTGGATTATTTCTCATTTTTTTTTAACACTAGCATATACTGTATGTAAACGCAAGCGTTACTTAATTTTTAAAGAGTTTTCTGAGTAAAATAAAATGCTCTTTTCTACAAGTGCGTATGTATATGTTAACAATATTTTAAGCAATAGCAATTTTATTCAAAACAAAATAAGTAAAAATTAATGGCATTTCTTGTTTTTATAGACATTTTTCATTGATCACAATCAGAAGTTGACGACCTTTATTGACCCCCGCCTGCCAACAGATATCCCACCAATCAACACAGACTTTCTACATACATCATTGTTGTTCCGTAACCGCGGGAGACGAGAGGGCAGTGACAGCCCAGTCAGAACCAACCATGCAGTAAGGACTGAAAAAATAAATATTAATTCATATAGTGTAGAATTTTACTATGGGCATTCTTTTTTGTGGTTTCTTAAAGATGTTATATTATAAAAGGCGTAATTTGTTCTGAATTACTTCGAAAGGATGGACAAAAAAAAAAAATTCCTTTTCATTTTATGATATTGGTTCTTATAAGTTAATTTTCAAAACCTTCAAATGTATTGTAAAACCTTATGTACAGCTGTATTTGGATAAATAGCTCACCTGAGTTAAAGACTTATGCGAGATTTTCTGATTAGCATTTGTCTTGAATATATACATAATGGACAATGTCTTGAACTGTGTATGTTAATCACTTACAGATAAGACTTTACTTATTGCTTTTTTTTCAGCCAACACCCCCTCCTAGGGCCCCAGTACCAGATGAGCCAACCGTTGTACCAACAGGTAAAGTTTCCTTCTCGGAAGGTTTCTACATTTCCACATGGTAAAAAACACTTGATTCACCACTAAGCTGACTTTTGGTAAAAGTTGCAAGTTGTATTGAGTTCAAGTGTGTCAAAGCATTGGATGAACATTTCATGTTTCTTGAGCTTATTACTGTATACACAGTATTTTTGCCCTGTTTTATTTTCGCCCTTTCAATCATGCATACAATTTAGCCCCATCTTAAATTTGCCAAGTCACACTTTTGTTTAAGAAATTATATGGTATTCTTTGAATTCGCCCAATCAAGATAAAGGTGAAAGGAGCGAAAATAGAATGTGGGCGAAAATTTCCCTGTATACAGTAGTTAAGAGTACAGTAAAACTTGTCTATTTCTGACACTAATACTTCCATAGAAAAGGGCTGGATTAGACCACATTCTTTATTTGATAACAAAGTAAGCAATTGAATTTATTGAAAGGATCTTCAAGTACATCATACTAAGAAAAATTTCAGAATACACAATATTCAGATGAGACAAGTTTCACTGTAGATACTGTATATACAGTAAAGACATTCTGTGAACATTTGATTATATATGTGAATTTTTAGATGTTTAAAAATTTATAGATAAACAAAAAAAGAATGGTATTTTTTGTGGTATGTGTTACGTTACTCTTTTATGCATACATGCCAGTTATTTGCTATAAACCCTGTACATGGATGTATAATAATTATCCTAGACGCTATGAAAAAATTGCTTGCCGGGTCAAGTACAATGTCAAGTGCTGTGAGAAAGATTGATAATTGTAATAATTCATCATTTTTTTTCCAGATTAGATGATTTGTAAAATAAACATGTATAGATCTAATACATTTAAATTTGTATTTGGACAATATAATGATAATGCATATCCGGACAGCACATAATTACTTTTCCTGGCAACAGCATTGTATTTTATAATATAGTTAAATGTTTAGATTTCATTACACAAGTTATTCTGGAGAGCTGGATTTCTCAATACATATTCATGTAAATATAAAATTTACAAACTGGTAATGCGCCTTTTAACACAGAAAATATTTATGTCTGACAGAGATAAAATTTACAAGTACCAAAGTTTGTGTGCATTATAAAGGTACATTAAAATCATTAACAAGTACATTTAAATATGGACATCATACTATTAAGAAAAAAAAACATTTATTGCAATTATACATGTAAATCTGAAAGTTTATTTTCAATCTATTTGAAACAAAAATTGATCTTGTACAAATAAATTGAGTTTTCTTTTAAAGTACAGTCTTCCTTTACATTGATGCATCAAAATTCATATCAAGACTTCGTAAACTTTTTCTTATAGCTTACAATGATAAAGTTGTGTTGTTCCTGCGACAACCAAATATCGGAGAGATTCTTCAGGAAAAGTGTTCTACATATAGCAACAGTACCCGGTTAAAAGAGAAAATCAACAAAATCCGCAGCGAGGGCACTGAAGCTCTAGATAGGCTGAGTAACGATGTAGATCTTATCATTCTGCTCAGGTTTGTGTTGCCCAGTTACCTCCCCTTTCTCTAAAATTCAAACTTTTATAAGGGAAAAAGCCATGCAATCTCGTAATTAAAAAGATATTGATATCAATGAGATTAAATCTATGTAAATTTTTAAGACTTAAACTTGCAAATGGATAGATTTTTTAAAATTTGAATAAGACATTAAATCTTGCATGTAATCTTAAATGCAGTTGTGGTGTGTATTAATAATTTTTCCCCCTCTTTTTTCTCCAGTTTATATGAAAATGAGATTATGTCTTATGTGCCTCAAAACCTTCTACAAGCCAGTGTTCCAGGGGACTCCCCAGGAGAAACCCCTCAAGGATCACCTAGTAAGTTTCAATGTCTATTATAAAAAGCATGGAGCTTAGCAGTAGCCTGTTAAGAAAAAATGACTCAAAATCTTCATCCTGAAATAGAAATATTGTATTTTACAAGGAATACTGTAAATCTGGAAATTTTTGCTGTAGATAAATTTTTAGCAAATTTGCGAGTTCATTGCATTCGCAAGTATATTTTTCTTAAAAATATATTACCATGAAGAAAATGTAAACAAAGCAGTTGCAAATTTTGAAACGTAAAAATTAATCAACAGCATTTTGACCCGAATTCGCAAAATAAAATCGACGTAAAAAATTCCAGATTTACGGTATCATCAACAACATATGCAGTAAAGCACTCTCATTACAAAGTGCCAAAGAGGGACAATATTGCTTCATTATAAGCATAATTCTATATATCCATTAAGTTTACAATATATTTTTAAGCTGGGGGGAATTAAAATCAGTTTGTAGTAGGCGTCAATTCATTATTAGCATGTTTACCAAGAGCATGTTTTACTGTAGTACATTGTAAAGTTATGTGAATATGATAAAAACTGTTTCAAGAGAGACTGATTTTTTTTTTACAGATGTCCAGAGAGCTAACATGAGGGTTCATGCTCCATATAAAAGAGATTTCCAGGCCAAGCTACGCAGCTTCTATAGAAAGCTGGAGAGCAAGGGTTATGGACAGGGACCTTCAAAATTAAAGTAAGACATCTATATACTGTGTACCAAGACGGGCCATCAAAATTTAAATAAGAATTAGTATGAACCAAGATAATGATTGTATTGGTAATATTAGAGCATAAAGCCTCTCTCTGTGTTTCTTCAATATAGAACTCTTTTAAGAAATGACGTACTGTAGAAGTATTTTTTTCCGTGTGGTATTAATTTACGCTATGTACGCGGTCACAAATTTTCCTCGGAAATTTGTCCAAGCGTACTTAATGTAAATGCAAGGCATATAGTGATAGTGTAAGAAATCCGCACAATTTTCCACCCGCGGATTAAACAGAAATTGAGATTTCGCGGAATTATGAACCCGTGGAAAAAAGTACGTCTGCAGTATTTAGTACCAGTGGCAAGGGTACAAGTTTGCTTTAAGCGATTGTCCTTTTCTCATTGTTTATTCATCACTAAAGACTTGACATGACAAGAATATTAGATACATGCATGCGTTCTTGATCTGATTCAGGCTAATGGTGAGGAGAGACCATGTTTTAGAGGACGCCTTTAACAAAATAATGGGAACCACAAAGAAAGAACTGCTGAAGAAGAGCAAACTGTACATCACGTTTGTAGGAGAGGAAGGGTGAGTTATCTGTACATAATGTACAAAGATTGTCAGAACAACAGGTACAGTCATATCTCGTTATCTTGAACTTAATGGGACCATGGAAAAACTTCTATGCATGTATATCAGAGGATTCAAGATATTGACTCAAGTTGAGGGTAAATTACTATAATAGAACAGATTATAAAGGATAAGCAGTTGCAACTTCCAAATTACTTAGACATATCCATGGTATTCCAGATATCAATGTTTGAGATATCAATGTTAAACTGTAGTTATAAATTACTCGACATGGAATTCTTGATGATGCTTGTAATACATGACTGTGTTGACTGTGTGTTTTATATTTTAGTTTGGATTATGGTGGCCCGTCCCGTGAATTCTTCTTTCTGCTTTCTCGTGAACTCTTCAATCCGTACTACGGACTTTTTGAATACTCCGCCAATGACACATACACTGTGCAGATCAGTCCAATGTCTACCGTAGTGGAAGACGCTCATGAATGGTAAAGTTAAAAAAATTATGGTAGCCATTTTCATAGATTATTTAGTTCAATTAAAAAAAAATCTATATTTATGGTGCAAAAAATTGTACATAAGGAAGGAATTTTTGCTTTTCAACTTTAGCTCTTAATATGACTTTGAAAAATGGTGATATTATTTTTAAAAATCACTAATTTTTTGTTTGTTTGTACATTGTGATATTTTGAATATTTCTCTGACGTATGTTACACATGTATATATGTCTGTCTGTGTAGGTTCCGATTTGCTGGCCGAGTTTTAGGACTAGCAGTTGTACACCAGTATTTATTAGACGCTTTTTTCACCAGACCATTCTACAAAGCCCTCCTAAGATTGTAAGTAGTGGTAATAGGGACAACCCAGTATCAAATCATAATCAAATATTTCAAGTCTGTATACAGATCTTATACATGTACTCTGAATAAACAGTATACACCATAGTGAAAAAATTGTATCATCGTTTGCAAGGGTAGTATCACAATCATTGCTGTGTCATTAAATGGGTTAAAACTTTGTTTTTAATTTATATTTAGATGTATATGTAGGTAAATATATAGAATTTAAGATGAGTTGTTGGAAAAAAAATTGTCAATTTTTACAGGCCATGGTCCCTAGCTATTAAATATTTAAACTATTCATTAAGGTCAGACGATATGTTCCTCAGAAATCTGCTTTGTATATCTTCGTAATGTATAAAAAAATATTTGAATTTAAAATCATCTTGTGATTTTTAAACTGGTTTCTAATTGTCTTTAAACATTTACAATGCTAGAATTTATGATTTTGGCAATTTAAGTTTTTTCCAAAAGGATTATATAGGCAACACCATCCTCTGGTTTCTTGCACAAATGCCTGGTAAGGTACCTCAATTTTTTGTGAGCTAACTTGTTAAAGTAGCATTACTTCAATGACAAAATCTTGAACAGAATTATACATGTATATTATTTAGGAAGGTATCATCTGTCCTAAACCAGTTATATAATGTTTTCCGCTTTGTTAACTGTCCCTGGCCAATGAGTAAACTGAGAGACTTGCTAACTAGTTATAATTGCTAATCATGTTGTTAATTTCTCAGACCCCTGGTCCCTAACTTACATGTAAATTGAGTAATTCATTGACTAGTTATTAATTATTATTAATTCCATGTATCATTTTTTCCAGGCCTTGGTCTTTAGCCGATGTGGAGACCCTAGATGCCGAGTTTCACCAGAGTCTGCTGTGGATTAAAGAGAACGACATCTCGGAGGTCGACATGGACCTCACCTTCTCTGTCAACGAAGAGGTGTTTGGACAGGTAATGCACAAACGCTGAAGAAAAGTTGATCAAAAACTTTTTTTTTTTTACTATTTGTCTTGAAAGATTGAGACAGATTTTTAGCTTTAAACAGAATACAACTGCTAATTCTGTTAAGTTTATAGAAAAAATTTAAAACATATAAAAAATAAAATGTAAAATATGAATGATAAAAAATATGAAAGAAAATGATAATTACTGTATAGGGGGAAAATAACTCGCGGTGTTAATATTCGCTTTATTCACGGTGTTGATGAAACCGTGAATTCAAGAAACAGTGAATACGTTTTCAATAGGTATAGATTAAGGGAGAAAACTTTTATTATATACCAATTCCGCGAATTCAAGAAACCGCGACAGTATCAGAGACGAGAGAAACGTGAAAATTACAACCCGTGAAATTAATCCCCTATACAGTATATAAAATGTAGAATAATATTTCTCTGCGAAGGAATGATTCACTGCTAAATCAGTTCTCATTCAATGGAAGAAGAACCATTTGTATATACAACTCGTGCATAAGTCTATATCTGTGTCATTGTTAAGAGGTCAAAGAGGAACATCATGTATGTTGTGTCACCCATACATCTTGTTCAATAAGCCAACATATTTCAGGTGACCGAGAGGGAATTAAAACCCAATGGGAAGTTGTTACCTGTGAACGAGAGAAACAAGAAGGAATACATAGAGAGGATGTCTAAATGGAGGCTGGAGCGGGGGGTGACGGAGCAGACAGAGAGCCTGATCAGGGGCTTCCACGAGGTATACAGGCATCATCAGTAGATACTGGTCATACTGCTAACCTTATACATACAAACTGTTTACTTTTTATATTCGGAAATGATTAAGGCACAGGCCTCAACCTTAAACTGAGAAAAGACTGAGAACAGTCAAAATTTCATATAAATTTAATATTCAAAACAATTTTGATTAGAATTATCAAACAAAATTTTCATCAAGTGTTTGAGTTTGCTGTATATAATGCTGAATTTATAGTACAGTGTACCTGCATATAATAATGTAAATTAAAAAGTGAAAAAAGGCAAATTTAAGTTGATTCAGAGTCATTATAACATTCACTCAATAGGTAAAATATACACATGGCAGAAAATCTCTCAGTAAATGAAACCTGTTAGTCTGCATGTCGTGCAAGAGTATACAAATAAATATATTTTTACATTTTTGAAACTGAGTATTATCTTTATTTTTGCATTGTGTACTTATATTTGGTTTCGTTACTTATTTAGGTTATAGATAGTCGGCTGATCTCGATGTTTGATGCTCGGGAGCTGGAGCTGGTGATCGCGGGATCCGTGGAGATCGACGTCAAGGACTGGAGAAAGAACACAGAGTACCGATCAGGTAAGAACACCCAACAGGCATTACAAATACACATATAACAGGAAAATAAAGTAATGTTACCCCAATGTTATTAATGTATACAGGGTTATTTTTGCCCCTTCTCACTTACAAACAATTATGTCTTGTTTTAAATTTGCCCAGTCACAGTCCTATATTTAAGAAATTATAGTGTTCTTTGAATGTTCATTGTGGCCCATGGGTTTATTGTGAACATTTTTGAAATATTTATAAAATCAAACATTAAATTAAGTATATGTAGTAAAAGAAGAAAAATTTTACTCCCTTTAAAACCTCACTCCAATGCTTTATTATCAGATTTCTTATAATTTCTTGGTACATTTACATGTATATGATGGATGCAAATGTATATAACTTCTTAAAGGTAAAGTAAATGCCATAAAATATAATTTGACCTTTACCTTAAATGTCTTGTTCTTGATAGGATACCATGACCAGCATCAGGTCATTCAATGGTTCTGGCAGGCAATCGAAAAGTTTGACAATGAGAGGAGGCTAAGATTATTACAGGTACGGGTTATTTGAAAGTAATTATGTGGTAATGACCTATATTTAAAGAAAAGAAAGAACTTTTTATGCCCCGCAATGAATATGGCCGGGGTATATAGTGTTTGTCATGTCTTTCTTTTGTCCTTCCATACACTTTGCGTTTAGCTCAGTTCAAAAAAAGAAACTATCTATTTTCATCAAACTTCATATGCTGATAGATATTGATGAGAGCTGTGCAACTGCATCAACATTTTTTGACCTTTCCTTTGACTTCACTTTTCTTAAAATAGTGTTTAGCTCAGTTTTAAACATACCATTCAAGATGGTGTTATCAATCTTCACATGTTGATAAATACTGATGAGAGCTATTCAACTGCATCACCTTTTTGACCTTGACCTTTCCTTTGACCTTGACCTCACTTTTCTTAAATTAGTGTTTAGCTCAGTTTTCAAGAAACCATCCAAGATATTTCATCAAACTTCATATGCTGATACATACTGATGTAAGCAATTCAACTGCTTCAACATTTTGGACCTTGACCTTTCATTTGACCTTGACCTCACTTTTATCAAATTGTGTTTAAGTCAGTTTTAAAGAAACCATTTATATTATTTTTTTCAACTTCATATGCTGATACATACTGATGAGAGCTTTTCAACTGCATCAACATTTTTTTGACCTTTGCATTTCATTTGACCTTGACCTCACTTTAAAGAAATTAGTGTCAAACTTACTGTGCTGATTCATTCTGATGTAAGCAGTTCAACTGAATCACTATTCAAGATATTCTGATCAAGTTTCATACACTAATACAAATTTTCATGTTGCATTACTAATATATCCTATGGACATATTTCTAGTTATTGTTTATATTCATGTACTGTGGAATCAGTTTTATTTGTGGGGTCAAATGTTTGTGTGCAAGCAAAATTTCATTTGTTCGTGTGAACATAATTACACAGGGTAACTCATATATACTGAAGATTCTGTGAAAAAATATGTTGACAATATAATAATTCATGGGAATTTAATTTTTAGTACCTTAAATTTCCTGGAAGTGATTATTGAAAACATACATGTACATGTTTTTGTTTGTGGTCTCTGAATGGAGAAGTACCTTTGTTTAATTTTGTAGTTTGTGACTGGGACCTCCAGTATTCCTTATGAGGGATTCTCGGCACTTCGAGGAAGCAATGGCCCACGTAAATTCTGTATAGAGAAATGGGGGAAAGTTACCAGTCTACCAAGGTCAGACTTTCTTTATTTGATGTATAATTAATAACTTGAAGCAGCTCAAAACTTTACAAATAATAAAAAAACAAACAAAAAGCAAAACAAAACAAACATAAGTAAAATGAAATTTGAAAGCAAGTGCTCAAAGTACAAGTAAAATAGTATTTTTGCCTGAACTGCACATACATGTACTAGTTAAAGGCCTAGAGGAAAGAAGAGGATTTGTTTTTTTTTAAATCAATAATTTAGGGTAACATTGAAAGTTTTATTGACAGAGTTTTGTATTTTCAGAGCACATACTTGCTTCAATCGACTGGATTTACCGGCTTATGCGTCATCAGAGATGCTGTTTGAAAAACTAGTCACAGCTGTCGAAGAAACCAGCACATTTGGCATTGAATGATTTTTTGTCAAAGTTTTTTTTTCTTTTCCTTAATAAGGGTATACATGTACACATGTACATGTATATTTGAAAAAAGGCACAGTTATCTATGTGAAAGAATTTTTATTGCCATTGCCAGATTTTTTTTTCAATATGTAAGTCTTTCACTGAAGATGGATTCATTGCATGGTTTAACAAATGAATGGATTTTTTTTTATATTCTTCACCTCTGTGAATGGTAAAGGCATTCAGTGTATTGTAAAAGCTTTATTTTAAAGGGTCCTTGAAACATCCTGAGGACTAAGAATCTGGACTCTAGTCAGTGTGGTATTTGTAATTTGTGATAATATATAATTATATTTTTTAATTTTGATTCAGACGGACTTCAGTGTGAATGTATTTTTTTTCTTTTTTTAATGAAACCCATAAATACAGAATTTTGGGCATTAGACCATGCATTTTGAATATGTTAGAGGATTCAAAGAATACATTGTAAGAATATTTCTTTGAGAAAAAGTCTGCTGAAAAAGACAGTATTAATTAAAATGAAATGAAGTCAAGTAAATGAAATTATGAATTAGGAAATTTACAACAGAGCTGCAATTATCTAAAATCTTTTGATACATAATAGGCATTTACGTAATCAATGACTTTATTATAAAGTGAATTATGGTTGTGAAGAATAGGATTTTATCGTATCTTGCCCTGAAACTTTAATATCTTTCCATTTATAGAATCATGAAGTTGCATATTGCAGTTGTTATTCCTATTTCAATTGATATACGATTTCAATGTCTGTGTGTTAAATTACTTTAACATATGCATTACCATTTTATATTCTAAGTTTTTGGAAGCGTTATGGAAGCAATATGATGTGCAATGATTTCTGGATCAAACCAAAGTCGTAATTTATAAAGTTTAGATTTAGTTGATGTGTCTAAAGATTTTCGGGTACATGTATCTACAAATGAGTGTAGTTTTATTTGTTCAAACTACAATGTATTAATAGTGTTTTAAATGCAAGACAGAATGCAAAATGACTGTTCATTTTGATATTAATAAGAATTAACTTTAACTGAATTTCATAACTGGAATATACATGTATGTGATCAGGATATTCATTGTAATATAAACAAAAATCCAAAGGATAATGATTGGAAGGGTATAGATTTTACATGTATGTTCTGTGATAATATTTGATATTTATAAAACATTTTATTTAGCTTTTTTTTTTGGTCATTACAGCTTTGAATGGTATCAATGCTTTAAGAATGTACTTCACACAAATTGTAAAATGGTACATTTCTGAAAGTCATCCTCCCTCATCTTAATCTAAAAAAAAATCATTAAAAAAGATAAAATCAATAGTAACAGAGGAAATTATGTAAAGACTGTCAATGAGCGAGTTTGTTAGGTATTGTTTCTTCTTGAATACGGCCCATATTTTGAACTGTATAATGGATTTTAAGTCTCTCTGCTTCTTAGGATATATCAGAAAATGGCTATTATTATTTTGTTGTTGTTATTTGTTAGCTTTTGTTGTACACCAGTGTTGTGATTTATTTCCCTTTTATTTCCTCACGTCTTAAAAATTGATCATGTAATATACTGTACATAAATAGGTGTCTAGACTGTGCCAGTACATTGTAGTTTTGTTGTACACAATCATGTACAGATAGCTATTAACAAATAACTTTTCAAAATATTAACCAAATATATATCACTATGTATGATCTGAGAGCATTAGATGTAAGTTTTTATGATCACGCTCTGTAAATAATTGTAAACTAAATGTACATGTAGAACAAATATTGTATCAGGATGCTTGAATATACTGTAAACCAATTTTATTTCGTGTACTAGAAATGTACACGAGCTCGAAAATTAATTGTGAAGAATTAGTTTGCTTTGCTCCTGCTAAGTCGCCAAATAAAGTCGTCACAAATTAAAGTTGGTTTACAGTAACATACTAAAGTTTAGTGATCAAAGATAAGAATGTAACACTTTAAACTCATCACGCTTGCATCATTCCGTTGTGTTCATATTGTTTAGAGAAAATATATCAATGTTGATATTTATTTTGTTACTTGCAGCCATATATTATACAGTGTTAGTCATGATTTAGCCATTCACCTTTTTTTGTACAGTAATATTTTTAAGCCAATAAATATCGTTGAACAATAGTAGACTCTTGATTCTATGAAAACAACATTTGAAGGTTTTAAAGTAGGCTCATTTTGTTATAGTGATATAATTGTAAAAAAAAATGTAATACTATATTATTTTTAGTTTCTACTTTCATTCCTTAAAGTTGAATGAAATGTTTTTTTCCCTCTCCACCTTTTTTCTTCAAGTGATTGTTTTTAAATGAACATTAAATATGTTGTCACAAAATAAAAGAAATACCTGGTACTGAAGACTTGATTGACATGAAGAAATAGACATTTTTGAATGCCAAGTCAGTTAATTTGTAGGAGATCAACTTCATGCCCCATCTTGATTTTTTTTTATTATTGCAGCCAATTTGGGGATGGGTACGTCTTCAAATTTAAAAATATTATTTTTATTGTGTAGTCCAATAAATCTGATTGGTTTGCCTGATAACGTGTAAAATTTTATTTTACAATCATGATTTAAGTTACTAAAAATATTTGGGAGTAAAACCCAAATATGTATTTAACATTGTATTGTTTTAAACTTGAAATCTTATAATGAATTTGTTTTGTTTTTCTTTCTTCTTTTGTTTCAAAGAAAATAACAAATACAGGCCTTTGATTCATTCTCTTCGTAAATACAATTTCATGAAAAGCACATGGATTTCACACTTGTGCTCAGAAGGTGTGCTTTTCTTTGGAGTTGTTATGTCTACAGATTAACCTTGTAAAAGGGATTTATTTATAAAATAACTTTTTTTTATTATGATTTTGAAATTCAAGAAAACAGGAAAACTTCGGAAATCTTGAAATGTACGTTTCAAAAAGGGTTTTGATTTGTAAGCCAGTAATGTTTATAATTAACTAATCTGATAGTTTATATTTTCATACACTGTCACAAACTGAAGTGGTTAGGGTATTTTATATGAGGATATAGAAATACAATAAAAATACATGTACCCGGCATTATATTTCATGTATGGCAGATTTCTATGGATAAAAAATTCACACCACAATGTTTAGTTTTATTCCTAGCAATGATGTTTATTGGTGATAGTTGCTAACTTGTGCTTTAATAAACCACCAACAAAATATTTTTTTTTTATCAATCCTTCATTTTAACAGATTGGTGACATTTATACACCAAGAATTTTCTAGGGAAATTATTTAAATGTACTCACATGTACTTTTTTTTCTGGCGTTTATTTAATATCATGTTTGAGACCTGCTCATCAGATCATTCATTATTCCAAAGGGCAAATTTAGTTGACAATTATACCTCAGTTGTTTCATTACGCATTATATCACATTAAGCTTTTGTGTTAAGGAATATTACTTCAAAAGATTACAAGTTTAAAACAAAATGTTTTTATTGTTTTACCACAAGAATGAAAAAAATTACAATATCATTTGTATTTGATAATAAATTTCTAGTAAATGTACATGTATTATTACTCTTGCAGATTTAAGTATTGTTTAGATGACTTATTCATCTGAAGTAAACTACTAGCACTTAAGAAACTATGTTTCTAATGATTTTTTTTTCTCTTTTTGGATGTATGAGAAATATTTATGATTATACTTTCAGTGTAATTCTAGCAGAATGATAACTGAAACACGTTTTTTTTCTTTTTTTTTTATGACTATTCATATTTGTATATTTATGGTAACAATTATTTATGTGCATTGTAACAAAACTGTTGTTTATGTTTTATAAATATAAATGAAAAAAAAAACCCTTCCGTTTTTTATTTCACCAATAAAGATAAATATCAAATGATTACTATTACCTTGACTTCTATTAAACCTGAAACGTATACAGAAGACAATGGGGCTGGCATTTTGTGGGTTTTTTTACGAGAACTAACGACTTGTTTGTTTGTTTATAGCAAAGTGAGATGCACTTTTGAAAACTTAATTTTGCTGTTAAAAATGTGCTTTTATTAGAAATTGGTTTGAAATTGAAACTTTTATGACCAGTTAGACTTGTATAAAGAAGTTATTTACATTATGTAAGACCAAGAATACGAAATTTGATTAATCATTTTCATTAATTTTCCCAACGTAAGTAAACAATATTGATTTCTGCTCACATATAGTCCATTGTCTTTGAATATTTTCCATGCTCAATTAAGGCACGTACCCTATGTTCTAAATTAATGAAAAAGTCTCATTATGCATATCTTTATACGATATATTTTTCTCCGAGTCCAAAAAGCAGTTTCTGTTAGTGTTTAGAGCTTCCTTAAGTAAATTTTGTTTCAATCAAAGCTTGAAAATAGCTCTTATATCGCAAATAGGAACAGCAGGGGCCCGTTTTACTATGGAACTTGCGACTAAGACCAAAAACTTGAGCAGATTGTAGAATTTTGTTAAATTAATGATTGCGTTTAAAATTGCAATTGTGAAAATATCTTTACACCCCTTTTAAAAAGTTTAAAACCATTTACAATTGAATGCATAATAAAGTTATATCCAGAATGAATTTTGATCTTATTTAAGCCTTCCAGAATTTCTCATATTCACAGGTACTTGGGTCGTGGTTTATGTTTATGTATAATGTACCTTATTTACCTATCAATAAGGTACATTATACATATTTATAAACCACGACTCAAGTACCTGTGCTCATATTGAGACGTCACCATTTGCTCATTATGATACTCTTTTGAGTTAAACCTACGTCAAGAAATCCAAGTTGTTAGAGGGTCTGTGTAGCTGTCCGTCCGTCTGTTAATTTTCACATTTTCGACTCCTAAAAAACCACTGGGCCAATTTTAACGTAAATTGGTACAAAGCATTCTTGGGTGAAGGGGAGTTTAAATTATCAAAATGAAGGACCAACTCCCCTCACAAGGATAGATAATCAAGAAAAAACAAAAATGGGTGGGGTCATTAAAAAATCTTTTTCTCCAGAACCACTGGACCAGAAAAGCTGAAACTTATGTGGAAGCATCGTGGAGTAGTGTAGATTCTAAATTGTTCAATCATGACCATTGGGCTTTGGACGGGGCCACAATATGAAATCAAAGTTTTACATTAGAATATATAGGAAAAATCTTTAAAAATATATATATAGTCAAAAGATGAATATGATTATCTAATGAAATATGCAAAGAAGAGTCAGGAAAACATTTATATTTTATTTAGATGAAATGCTTTATTTGTGAATATGTTTGGTACATGTAGGGAAAATCATCAAGAATTAGATCCGCCAAGGTTGCAAGAATGCTCCTACTAATCTGCAAGATTATAGATGCATAATTACTATTTTAATAAATATTTTGTTTTAATAAATATTTTATAATACATGTACACATTGTAAAAAGACTAAAATCCTTACTGATTTTTCTTCTCATTTTTATTACGTAGTCAAGCTATGCTTGTACTTTGCATTTATTACCAGCAAAATTAAAACCCCGAGGCAAATAGAAAAATGCCTCCACCTTACTCCCCCAAAACCTTATAGAATTAAATAAATGGAGTATTTTATTATTTCAATGAGGAATCCTTAGTTCAAAGAATTCCTCAAGTGGAATTTCTGAAAGATGTAAAGAGTCTAGCTCGGAATCAGAAATTAATCTTTGACGAATGTTAGTTTTGTAGAAAAATTCATATAGAGTGTTGTTTTATTAACACGCATAGTAATGTCGGTAACTGATTTTTATTTGAAAATTTAAATAAGTACATGACTGTGTACAAATTTTAATTTTCAAAAATAAAAACCAATCAACGACACTAGAATTTGTACTCTTCTTAAATAAAAACTTTGACCAGGAAAAAAAAAAGAAAAACAAAGATCGTACCTTGTGTTTTTTTTTTTCCTAAATCGTATTATTTTCTAAGGACAGGTACTCACATAGTTTTTTTTTTTAGAAAGCCCTTCGTATAAAATACATTTAGATAGCTTTACGCGCAAAGAGTTAAACTTTGAATTTCTTTTTTACACTGACGAATGATGATGAATCTGAAAAGTATTATAGATATTGGACAAATAAACTGTAGACCTGGTACACAGTTCTCTATCATGTGCACTACATATTTCAGAAAACATAAAGATCATTTCTTGGTTAAAATGTATTTATAGTAGGCCATCTTTAATCATGTTAATAAAATTTTCCCTCTCAATGCAAGGGGAGGTGGTAGTAGATACTAGTAACGGAAGAGGGAAAAGTTTTGCAATTAAAGATAAACGTAAATAGATAAAATAAGAAAGCTTCAAAATGAATTTTTTTAAATACTCAAATTCATTTAATAAAAAAAAAACAACAACAGAGAAACAATAAGTTGTGTAGTGGTATGAAAAGATATAGAAGGGAAATTCTAAAGTTTTAAAATCTTACGGTAAAACTTTCCCAAAAAGTGTCATTTCCAAATACTTTCCAACAGTATACACGAGAGTAACATTTTTTAAAAATACGATAAGAGAATTGTATGTTAACAACATCACTCATGTTGAAATGACCCAAAATGTTACATTGATTCTTCTATAACAAAACTAAGGTGAAGTATGTTGCAAGATTTAATAAAGATGCTTTAAATTACAGTTGATCGAGCAGTATCACTACACGCTGTATTTTTCTAAAACGTCCAGTAATTTTGTAATTTTTCAATACAGAAAGATAAGCCTTTTTTTTGGTACTAACAATTTTGGTGCCATTTGTGTTAATCGTATCCCGTCCGTCCGAATCCTACTCTGTAATTTCCTCCCCTGGACCTCTTCTATATCCTTTCGTTTAGCCACCTCCAGCGTAAAATCCTCCGAAATCGAACTTATGACCTCCTCCGCGTTTTCCACTCTTGCCTTTTCCTGATCCTCCCTTGTAACCACCAAAATAGTCGCCTCCTATTCCTCTTCCAAATGCTCCCCCTCCTAATCCTCCAAATCCTCCTCTCCCTCCTCTCAACCCTTCATATCCTCCCCCTCCTGCTCCCCCTCCTCTCAACCCTTCATATCCTCCCCCTCCTCCTCTCCCTCCTCTCAACCCTTCATATCCTCCCCCTCCTCCTCTCCCTCCTCTCAACCCTTCATATCCTCCCCCTCCTCCTCCCCTTCTTCTCAACCCTTCATATCCTCCCCCTCCTCCTCCCCCTCTTCTCAACCCTTCATATCCTCCCCCTCCTCCTCCTCCATTTCCGTCTAATCCATTGCTTCCAAGTCCTATAAAATATGTAATATACATAGTTAAGTCTTTATTTACATGTAATATCTAGAAAAGAACAGATGAAACACAAAACTAGTATCTTTAATCTATTTCTGATACAAAATGTAAATATAATAAAGTTGTCAATCAGTTAACGGCTAGACGTTCAAATTGATTAACCGGTTTAACGTTTCAATTAATGAATTTTCTTTATCAATTTTCTTAAGTACCTCTTTTCTTATACTCAAGAAACTGAAAAAAAGTTTGAAGTTTAACCATTCTATTTATCTTTATTCTTTAACGACATGCATATTTAATTCATTTCAGTGTTAAATGTCTTGGTCAACTATGAATACCTCAGGACATTTTTATCAAAATTCATTTACAAATTTCAAGGGCAAACCTTACACACTGTTACAGAAGCTTAATCTGCATTGTCAAAAAATTAAAACAAAAATTATGACATAGATAAGAATGGGATAAATCTATTTTAAAATCGACTATCTATTGTGTCGTCTTTTGGATATTTTCAAAGCATTTGTACAATTTTTGGCAGTTTCCCGATCATTATGAATGGGAAAATATTAAACACAACACACGAAAAATGCATGGCGATGTTTGTTGATCACCGGAGAGCAGCTCAGTTTGATTAAGATGGGGGGGATGTAATTACACCCTTAGAGGCTTAATGTAATAATTTTATTTCGAAGTGATACTCTCGGATTCTCCAATGATACCCCTTTTTATCGTGCCCCGTAGGTCAATTCCCTTGTCTGTAGACATTCAAGCTGCAGAATAATTTTTTTTCTATATTTTATCACCAAAATTAAGATGCACTTAAATATGATAAATAAAAATTTGCTGAAAAAATCAGCTTAGTGCGCCAATTATTTTTCGAGAAAAAAGCTTTCACCAAGATTTTACTGGACAACCCTCGTATGTGAATAACGTTCAATCGTACTCTGTATTTTTTTTTTTTACGATTAACTGATTATACAGACTTTCTAACGGATTGCTATTGTTTCGACCGAGTGGACTAATATCGGATACAAAGTCCTATTCCTAACTTAAATGAAATTGAAAAATAAGCAATTTTTGTCTATGTAAAGAATTTTGAGAGATACTCACCGTTAGAACAGCAGTAGCCAAGTCTTTGGTTCATGAGTGCTTTCCTGGGCGAATTTTACAATATTTACCCTTTCCACATTCGTAGTCATGGCAACATCTTTGAAAAATGTCGCATTTTTCGTTTTTATCATAGCCAGCTGAAATAGTGATAAAGTTAGTATTTCTTTATCATGTTTATTGCAAAATATTTCTTTTTGTTCAAAAATCTGAAATAACAGACAAAAATCCAATTTCTTCATTAAGGTTTTGAGTTATCGAAAGATAAAGATGTAATCTAAGGAGAGTGAATGAGATACAAAGATAAATACAGTAGAGAAAAACTAGTCCTTGCATCGAGCAAGCTAAATAAATTTACGAAACAGAATAATAGTTTTTCTTTTGTTTTAAGTTTTTAATGATGACGTTCAAGCACAACTGCAATTTTGGATTAGGTCAATTGATTTATTATATCATATACCCCAGACATTTATTCCTCAATTAATATAAATTAATTTTTTGTCACTTAACCTGCAGAATAACAATTAACTTCAAATGATTGTGATTTGTACTTCTTTAAGTATCCGTTAAATCGATAATTATTAAAACACCATTTATGTTCGTTATCCCCAAATTTCATACAGAGTATAGCGTATAAAGTACAAAAGCAGCGTATAAAGTACACTTACCTGTTACCATGGCCACCAGGCAGAGAACGGTCATCACAACCAAGAGTTTACCCATGTTGGTTATAAACTCCGAAGACAAACTGATGATCCAATTTAAAGTCTTATATACTGTCCGTTTATCTGCATCAACCAATCAACGCTTGATTGTTTGATTTATAACAATAAAAATATTGAATTGAATATTAAATTATTTCTATTTATTAAAAACCAAATGATGATAAATTAATACATCATACACTATTGCATAATTGACTTAATTAAATTATATATAACGAAAAAAAAAATAACAACAAACTGAAAACATTTCCTTTAAAGCTTTATTTCAATAAAATGGAATTAATATCATACCGACAAGATGTATCGAAAACGTGATTAAGGTTTTAAAAAAAAACGTTGGAAGGTATTAATTTGATATTGTATTATGTCATTAAATTCAATCAAGTTCAATATTTATGAAGAACTAATGTAAACAATCGCACTTATTTTTGACATAAATGGTCAACGAGCTTGATAAAACTGCTGCCCTCTACAAAAATTGAATTTTTTAAATTAAAATTTGTGCATTTTAAACACGATTAATGTGATAAATGCGAAGTAATTACGAGAATTCCATGTGCACTGGAAATGAATTCTAATACATGCAGTGTGGCAAATTTGAAGTAATTATTATTTTTAATGTGCATTGGAAATACATTTCTCTTTTGTTCATTGCTTTATGTTTTATGCACCTCAGTTGGGTATTTAAATATCTAACCTAGTTGGATATTTGAATATCCAAATGATGGCCAGTTGGAACTTTTTAAAATATCCAACTATAGTCTATAGTGATAGTTGAATCGATAAAATATACGTAGACTAATAACAATGGGTGACGTCATAGAAGTTTTTAAAGTCTAAATAAACTGAGCATTCAACACCTACAAATCCCTTTTGCATTTAATTTCATTGAATCTGTTGCTGTTAGGGATAAAATACCTTTAATATACATCTAGAATCGTATATGTACATTAAAGTTCAAATGTAAGTTAAATATCTGAATATCAATTTGGGGGTCTTAATATAAGGGGTACTTAAGTCTAAAACCATACTTATGTTGGACTTAAGTACAGACTTAAACTTAAAACGTAAGAAGCGTGCTTAGATTTGACAACTAGTCTTAGCAAAGCATATACATTATATATATTCGTTTTTCTTAGGGGTAAAAGGGGGTTATGACTACTAATTCCAATATTACTCTCAACATGGCATAGATGACATGTAGATTCACAAATTTTGGGGGATGCTTAAGTTTTAATACTAGTGGGAGCTAGGTTAAAATCACTAATTGCACATAGTAATTATGGATTTGTGCAATGCTAAAATGTGTCATAAAAAGGTTTAGAAAACAGAAAATTTATTTGTATAGAGGAGGGTAACTGTTAATAATTTGGAGACACGTTAAAAATATCCATTTCGATTCGTGATTAATATGTAAATAAGAACACTTATAACAAACAAGAGGCCCAGGGGCCACATCTCACCTGAGCAATTGGCTAGGAAAAAGCACATATCAGATCAAACATGAATCAGATCAAACATGGGTCATGATTTGAACAAACTTGAATCTACACTACCTGGGGATGATACCACAGGAGTTTCATCTTTCCTGTCTCAATGGTTCTTGAAAAGATTTTTCCTATATATTCCTATGTAAAACTTTGATTGGCCATTGTGGCCCCACCCTACCCCCTGGGGTCATGATTTGAACAAACTAGAATCTACACTACCCGAGGATTATTCCCTATAAATATCACTAAACATGGCTTTGAAGTACTTGAAAAGAAGATTTTAAAAGGTTTCCCTATATATTCCTATGTAAAACTTTTATCGGTCATTTGGCCCAACCCTACCTCGGGGGTCATGACTTGAACAAACTTGAATCTACACTACCTGGGGATGATTCCACAGGAGTTTCATCTTTCCTGTCTCAATGGTTCTTGAGAAGATTTTTCCTATATATTCCTATGTAAAACTTTGATCGGCCATTTTGACCCCATCCTCCCCCCGGGGGTCATGATTTGAACAAATTTGTATCTACACTACCTGAGGATGATTCCACATGAGTTTCATCTTTCCTGGCCAAGTGGTTCTTGAGAAGAAGATTTATAAAGATTTTTCCAATATACTCCTATGTAAAACTTTGATCGGCCATTGTGGCCCCACCCTACCCCCGGGGGTCATGATTTTAACAAACTTGAATCTGCACTACCTGAGGATGCTTCCACATGAGTTTCATCTTTCCTGGCCCAGTTGTTCTTGAGAAGAAGATTTTTAAAGATTTTTCCAATATATTCCTATGTAAAACTTTGATCGGCCATTGTGGTCCCACCATACCCCCGGGGGTCATGATTTGAACAAACTAGAATCTACACTACCTGAGGATGCTTCAACATGCGTTTCATCTTTCCTAGCCCAGTGGTTCTTGAGAAGAAGATTTTTTAAAAGTGACCTTAATTTTTCACTATTTCCTAATTATCTCCCCTTGGAAGAGGTTGTGGCCCTTCATTTGAACAAACTTGAATCCCCTTAACCCAAGGATCCTTTGTAGCAAGTTTGAATGAAATTGGCCCAGTGGTTCTTGAGAAGAAGATGAAAATGTGAAAAGTTTACGACGCCGACGCCGACGACGCCAACGACGACAGACGACGGACAAATTTTGATCAGAAAAGCTCACTTGAGCCTTCGGCTCAGGTGAGCTAAAAAGTCTTCAGTCTTTCTCTGTTTCGCTGATACATGGGATGGGTTAGAATTCAAAATGTTTTTATTGTTTTGTTTTCTTGTTTATCAGAGGTTCAATTTCAAGTACATGTAAATAGACTTTCAGTTTTCATACCTTGTCCTCAAGAATAACAGTGAGTGAACATTCGTCAAACGAACGAATGACAGCAAAAGATAAGTGAAAATATCACAGCCTCGAATGGAAAAAAATCATGCATTTACACTGACCACTTACCACATTAAAACCTTTCTTAGAAATTATACTCAAATTAAACTTTTCCTAGAAATAAAAATCCTTTGTCATGATCTAATTATTTAATTATTGAAGGAAACAAGTCGCAGATAATTAATCTTAAAATGATTTTTTATAACAGCTCAACATTCTGAATATCATTTATTTTTTCATTATCTAAAGAGATTCATTTTAAGTGGATAGAAAGAAACAAACTAATTTCTAAGAGTTTTTCAGATTATAAAGAGTTCTAGAGT